GAGGATTTGGGGGTATCCCTATTTTTTTGAAACCTCCATATGACTAGATTGGATATACTGTAGGTCAGATTCATTGATAAGATTTGACTATGGATCGGAGATTGGATTTGGTCTCAGAGATGGTGACAGGGAGAGATTGGAGTTTGGAGTAGAGAAAAATAGATTTAGATTTAGATGATATCTGATGCGTGTATAATATGAATTATAGTTTATAGTAGATCGGTTTTTGATGGTTTTTGCGGAACCCCCCGGTGTTGTTCCGCAGTCATCACGGTGCCAAACCAACAATTCTGGTGCACCTAGGAGTGGTCGCTTCGGATCGGCAGCGGTGCGGATTTCTTCTCAAGATGCCCAGCAGGAGCAGGTTGGGGGTTAAGATTGCCTGGAATAATATGGTTTAGTGTGGTATGGTAGGATGAAAGCCTCCACAAACACAGATTTTGGTTTCTAAAATGCTAGATAGTACAGTAATAATGATATGCGGTGTTTTTTGTTGGGCACTGCAATTGCTAGCCATTTCCAAATATCAACTACCCTGCAATTGCTAGACATTCCCTGACTTCACTGCCAGGTGGTCTTGATGGGAGGCAACGACAACCAGAACCGAGGCAGAGCCGAGCCACATGAGATCCGATTCGAATTTTTGACTCAGACGATTCAAAAGTTAAGATGGTTAATGATGGTTAATGATGGTTAATGATGGTGAATGATGGTTAATGAAATTTTGACTCTTTATTTTAAAACACCTTGGTGCTGCCACAGGCGATGTTTGGCGATGGTTACGGCACTCTGCCCCAATCGAGCTGCTGGGATCCCAGATGATCTCAAAAAAATCACATGGAACTCAAACATAGAATCTGGAAGATGATTTGTCCATATTTTCCTACTAGATTTTGAGCCGTGAAAATATATAGGTTACCCAGTAAAACTGACTGACGGCTGGGATGGCTGCCTCGACCCAGGAGCTTAGAAAGTGAGGCTACAGGCAGTCAAGAACAAGACTGTGTTTGGCGCTCAGTGGCAACGGACTGGCCACGGACTGGACCCGGGATCTAGGTGGCTTTGGCTAACTTGATGGATATACAGTACAGTGCTCTCCTACTTCATGTGGTAAGCTTAGTAATAAAGCTACCATCTGGGGGTGGTATTTACTAACCATTTATACCCGTTTAATTATAGTGATATTAGGCTTCCTACCAGCCCGACAGCTTCATAAATGAATGGGATGTATATGTATATATATATATATGTATATATAGCTAACGACACTTGGAGATGTCTGAAAATGGGTATGCCCCAAAATTACCATTGGGGATGAGGGCAAACCTTGTAAACCTTTCGATTCTGGGGTGCCCTAGTTTACCCAGGATGCTATTGACATCTATTGACACTTTGAGAAATTGGCGTGGCTAAAACAAGTTGAATTCGTGTTTGTCTCAAAATGGGCTATACATGGCTATAACAAAACCGATCATTCGCACTAATTGTTCAACATTTTAACATGTCAAATATATTATCAGATCTATAATTGGGGGTGTCCAAAAATGTGGGTACCCCAAATCATCCAATTGAACTTTCGGATTTTCCATGAAATAAACCATCCAGCTATTGGAACTCCCAAAGCTCAGGTGTTGGAGTCGAGTCAGCTCTTGTGGTTACCCCAGGGCTGCATGTTGATGTGCATGTCTCTCATCATTATATAGATAAAAACGATGATATGTATATATATATATATATACAGATAGGCATATATTGTACCACATACAATGTACTTGAGTAGATGATTTCAATACATCACATAATAATTGCAAGGAGATTTGTAATATAATAGGATCGATAAGAATATGAGGAAGAAACATAATAACTTAACAATAACTATAACATATTATAACACATTGAAAGTATATATAGATAGAGGCGCACACATGCATGCATGCATGCATGCATGCATACATACATACACATACATAAATATATATATATATATATACATATATATATATATATACATACATACATACATAAATACATACACACATACACACATACACACATACACACATTACATTACATTACATTACATTACATTATATACATTACATACATTACATACATTACATACATACATACCTACATACCTACCTACATACCTACATACCTACATACCTACATACCTACAGACAGACAGACAGACAGACATACAGACATACAGACAGACAGACAGACGTACAGACAGACAGACAGACCGACAGACAGACATACATACATACAGACACACACACACATATATATATATATATATACGTATATATATATATGTATATATATATATGTGTGTGTGTGTTGATATTCATATTTCTAATATGTGTGCATGTGCGCCACCAGTGGATGCGGAATGCATTGAAATTCGGACAGATTTTTCCCTGAGGCGATGCCATGCCTCCGCCGGAGTCTCTGGACGGAAGTGGCATATCTCTCACTACTTGGAGGTTTGGTCATTTGCACGTGGAAGTTTCCTACAATGGGGGTGCCCCAAAAGCTGATAAAAGCTGGATGGTTTATTTCACGGAAAATTCATATGTATGAAAATGGATGAGAACTGGGGATACCTCCATTTATGGAAACCTCCGTTTGCACATGTTACCCTCCGGTAGTTTCAACATAGTTATGGAAGATCACCATGTTAAATAGGGAAGCCATCCAACTAAATAAATAATGATTCATTTTCCACAGCTATGTGAAGTTACCGGATGGTATGGCTGAACTTGCGAACACAATTTTGGGCCAGCAAAGGGGTTGGGAAACGTCATTCAATGTCCCATTTTGATGGGATGTTTGGATGGGTTTGGATGGGTTTGGAACATCACCTTTGAAACGATTATTGGAGATGTTTTCCCCCCTGACAGTTGAGTGACTGGGGCTTTGTACTATCCCCCGGGATTCCAGCAACCGCTCCATCGCAGATGTCCACGGAGATTCACATCGATTTGCTTCACAGTGGAGGCTCGGCGCTGTGGTCCATTGGTCCAAAAGAAGCCAGGTGACAAGACGCATAAATTGCATAATGTGGTGGACCCCATGGAATAAACCAAACTCCATTTGCAACTATCTTCATCTTAGGGTAATGACAAATACATATATATATATATATGTATATATATGTGTATATATATGTGTATATATATATACACACATATATATATATATATATATAAACACATATCAATCTAGTCTGAGCGGACGTTTGCACACAGAAAACGATCATTAAACGATCATTAAATGGTGGTTCCTTCTTGGGTTTCCCACATGAATCGCGTACGTTTTGTTCCAAGCAGGTCCCAACGGCGTTTTGCCCCTGGGAGCCGCTGGAGTTGGTGCTGCGGTCATTGTGGGAGTCCCAGGGTGACCTCAGCAGAAGATCATGGAATTCATGGATGTTTCATGATGTTTCCTAAAATGGAGTACCACCTTAAATCATCCATTTTTCCATAGATTTCATAGGGATGTTCCGAATTTTCCATGCTACTAGTATCACAAGCCAAGCATTTAGCATTTCCATGGGATCCCCCATGGAAACCCCGAAGAATGCTTAGTGAAGCAGGGGGAACAATCGCCTCCAAGGCCATCGAGCTGGACACGTGCCGCCAGCTATTTCGGGTGGACCTCAGATGGTTTTTTTCCGCTGCCAATCCTACGACATACAGTACCCTCTGGTTATGACTAACATAGCCATGGGATAGCTGGCCCATAGAAATAGATATCATTTACCTATTAAAAATGGATAAAATGGTGATTTTCCATGGCTATGTTAAATAACCGGATGGTAAATAGAGGTTCAAATGGGAAAATCATATCATGTGGGTAAGACAATGCCATTTGCACAATCCCCCAGTCATCATCATAAATATAGGTGGTATGTTTACCATTCTCAGTAATTATTCCCAGTCATGGCTGGTTTATGGCATTGTTTTACCCACATTATGAATGATCCGATTTGCCAGCCATGTTTGATTTGCAGGCTTTGATTCAAGCATTTTAAGTTGCCCCGAAGAGCCTATGATTTCTGGTGGATTTTTGGAGGCGGAAGGTGGTCGCTGGAGCACAACTGGCTGCACTGGCGATCAACCGTGCAGAACTCAGGACAAGTGGTGAAAGATTCAAGGGGACAGATATGGACATATATTATATGTATATATAATTATATATATAATACATAAAATGATAATGATAATAATACTAATGATAATAATTATAATAATATATAATATATATATTATATTATATATATATTATTATTATATATATATGCTATATAGAATATATATATAAATATTACATAATATAACACATATATATATATATTAATATATAATATTATAATATACATAATGCAATTATATATACATTATATATATAATATATAATTATAAATACAATTATATACCATAACATATATAGTTATATGTGCATACATATATATATATATATGTATCATAGAATGTTCCTGGAATTGGAGGTCGGTATAATTTCTGCCAATCAGACATGGCTGGCCGGAAAATTTCCATGATGCCACGTTTGATTACCGGAGGGTAACATTCCCACAATTGGTTGCAGCCCCTGTATTTGATGGTGAAGACATATATATAAAGACTGCGGTTTCCTGTACAATTTTCCCTAACTCAATTCATCGAATGCTGTGGAATGATGTGGAACTATTATCATGTTTTTTTCGTTTTTGTTCATGTGTTTTCTTGTTTGGATCCAAGCCTCCATTTTCATTGCAACACCGCTTGCCCTCTCTCCATTTGCCCGTGATATTTGGGAAGGCCGTGGGCACGAGCTGATCAACCTGCAATCAGGCACAGCGGCAGATGCTTCGAACATGTGACAGTAAGAAAGCGACAAGAGTCCATTGTTTTTGTTTGGTCATGGTTTTTGGCCTCCCCAAAATGATCGAATTCTTGCCCTATAGACGTGCCTTCTTCTGCAGATGTGTCACCATGGCCAGACTGGGTCCGAATGGTGGAGCAATGCCGGGCCAGCTCAGACATTTGCGCTTCGTGTTGGACCGAGAAAGACAGGAGGCAGGGGAGTTGTCTTGAAGTCTTGGGGAGATGTCACGAACATATCCATGAATATGGGGGAAATGGACCATGGGGCGCTAAATGGACCATGGATGTATAATGGGATAATTTGGGATAATAACTATCATCAATATCTGGAAAAGGGAGACTTCAGCAGCAAAAATGGTGCTAGAATGGGAATATACTACACACTCATGAGATATTATACATACTGGGGATATGTCTGGATGAACTATGTTGCGACCTCACATCGTGACGTGCGAAAGCTAGGATTGGGGGTGACTAGCCCAAAATAGCGGTGTTTGCGGGTTAGTGTGCTATTATTATCCAGAACAATAGATTGCATAACGATTGCAAAGCACCATGTTTTTTTTTCCTAGAAATGCTCTACAGGACCCCCCAAAAAGTCGATTTTTCCACACTTTCCAGGATGATCTCCCTGAGACGGAGAGGTAGAGAGAGAGAGAGAGAGAAACAAACGGAATTCGAACGGTAAAAAAAAGGTCTAAACATGTCTCTGTCTAAACATGTCTAAACAACGTTAACTGTTTGGAGTACCTTAATTTCAGGGGGGCCAAATTACAACATCCATACGGTCCGTGAAAAGAAGTTTCATGAGAACACGATATAGAAAAAAGAAAAAAACATGGTTTGGATCTTTGAACGCATTGAAAAATGATAAACAAGGGCCGAAAACTACGATTTCGCAGAATTTGTTGTTGGTGGGGGTTATGGCAACACTGCATAGTCATGTGTGTCTTCAAACAGGTTTTTACCATAGCTCAGCTGAAATCAACATACATTGCTAAAGATCTGGATGTTTCATGATGTTTCCATTGATTCTGTGCACAGCAAAGCCAGGTGATCATGTACAGCGATGATGTGATGATGGTACCCGCAGGCAAGTCTGCGCAATCTGTTTGCATGTCAAACCGACATCCGCCCGAAACACCTCTGTTTCGGCGCTGGGGAAGGTGCAGAGCCTGGGCAATTCGGTGCAGGAGCCTGAGCGCATCTGTTTCGACCTGTGGAAGAAATTTTGCACCAGTTGGTAGATGAATGATGGTTTATCGCATTATAATCCCATTATTTACGGTTTTCCATAGTTACCTATAGGAATCCTAATAGTTACCAGCTGGTGCAGGATTTTCTCCATCCACTGTTGTAATCCTTATCCTCGCAATTTTGGACCAAAAACTTGGTACAGGTTCCTGTGGGCGGCGGTGTTCCACCCTCAGTCACGCTGCCAAAAAAAGCCGCGCGAAATTCGTGCGGCTCGTGGATCCCTGTCATCCAAGGCGTGCAGGGACTACAGCAACGTGCAAAATGGCTCCCTGGTGTGTCCCAGTGTGCACCCTCCGGTGTCAGAGATGCACTTGAGGCTGGGATGATGGTTGAGAGTGGATCCTGTAAGGGCAGTGACACCTATCAAGATTATCAAGGTACAAATGAATAAACTGCCATGATATGCCAAATCCACCAAAAAACAATTGGTCAAATACTGTACATTTGCGCACACAAAACACGACCACTTTTCTGGGTTCAACTTGGTACCCCCCATCCAAAATGGATTGCTGTGGCCCTTTCAGGGTGGTGGAGCTGGTTGTTTGGCCGGAAGCCAGCTTAGAAGTGAGGAGAGTTGGGTGCCATGATGGGGAGTTACGGACATTTATTAGCTGCAGTCACTGCAGTCATCCTCCAAAAAGATAGAAAGTCAACCCCTACTCCGATTTGATTATGATCTATATATAATGCTATATGCTTTTCCCTACTTTTTGTGGATGACTTAATATCACGCTTATGCATGCTTATGCTACTTCCTCCCGTGGTTCAATATAGAGCCATGGAAGTTAAGCTTACATAGTCTCGTCAGACAATCATGTTGCAGGAGACTTGCCGCTGGCCGCTCAGTTTCAGTGTCAATTGTTAGAGCAGTGGGTGATGGAGATTCAACTTTGGACATGGAGTTTAAGCTTTGCAGCAGACACAGGTTAAGTGTATGATTGAACATTGGTACCTCGTTGTACCTCTTGTTTCTCCCCTCCTTGTTTGCGTCAAGGGCACAGGTAATGATGGATGATCATGCTTTGGCAGGTGCTGGCACCGGCAGAATATTGGCAGTCCGGCCCTCGGCTTGAAGGATTCAGAGGTTCCACCGCTGGAAGATCAGATCAGCGGCTATGTCCAGAGAAAGGGGGATATTTGGACTTCCGTTTCCAGTGTATCATCATTTTCAAGTCTCCATATTATATATGTATATATATATTATTTGAAGGCAATATAAACCATATCGATCCATTTTATTGGTTCCTTGGGGCTTCCCAAGTATGGTTGCACGAAACAATTAGTGCGACGCGGTCATTCTGGTTCACGCGGACTCTGAAGGAATAGCACGTTGCATAAGAGAAGATTAATCAAGGAGATGAAACGCATCAAGTGGAGCGATGCAAAAGAGCAAACCAACGGAAACGATCCCTGAAGCACTGCAGCAGTCTGCACAAACGAAGCCACTAAACTGCAATTGGCTGCAAGATGCCTAAGCCCATAGGCGCCGGCTGCGCGGGGGGGGATCTGTGAGAATATGTGAGAACTGAAAAGGCTTCAAGTAGTAGCATATTGGAATCTCGCCAAAATCACCTTTATCAGTTATCAGCCTGTATAATAATGTATGATGTGTTTGTATTTTTTTTTATACGGGGTGGCCACCAATGGCGCTAGGTTCGCTAGGCCCACGCCAACATGCTAACATTCTTGCGACTTTCATTTCTTTAGGGCAGGTATTGAGGAGGAACCCTATATCATGTTCCAAATCTGACACGATCTTCCGCACTAGCACTAGCCCCGCGCTAATCCCACTATCAAAGCTGTTCATCCTGAAACACGAAGGATGAATTTATATATGCTGCTTGTAAAGGCATCAGCCGAGACAGAACAAGAAGGAAAGTCGCAGGTTTAGACGGTAGCACTGTAGCAGCACCACAACATAATTGTCATCACTTTCGTTTGCTTCATCATGATCATCGTCGGAAGGTAGCTGAAAAGCATCGCAATAGCCACCTTCCGTCTGTAAGAAGTACAATACAGGGATGGCATCATTTCCAACATATTCTTCTACCATCAGGACACATCATACTGGTAGGAAGATGCACTTTATGTAGCAGGCCTCCACTTGCACACACTTGTTTTGCAGACTCTTGAAATAACATATCTGGAGGATTATTGGCCCCATGGCGTAGCATTCAGGGGGGATTGAAGTTTACAACCAGAGGATTATCAAAAAGATGGTAAGAATTTGCGAGGGGATTATCAAGAATTTTCTGGCCATATTCGAGAATCCCCATGGACTATACTATACTGGTTCATCAAGTTTGACCAGCTGCCAGGGATTGCGGCCAACATTCTATGGCAGCAGGCCATTCAGACTGAGCGGAAGGCCGCGGTGCAGTGGGTACCTGACTCAGATCATGCCACTGAAGATCACTGAAGAAATTTTCAGGGTGAAGTGATTTTTTTTGGCTTCAAGCAAAGGAATCCCAAAAATGAAACACACACACATACTGTGTTAATTAACACTTATCTATACAATACTGATTAACATTTACAGAAATACAACTACTAATCAGCTGCAAAAACAGAGAGAGACAGAGATTTGTTAACAGAGAATTGGAACCATTTTAAAGGTAAATCACGATCTACATTGACAGGGAGACACTGGAGACACTTGAACATGTACGCTTCCACTTCTGCCCATGGCACATCACTGCAGTCCCAAGGAAGATTCCTGGGGATTCTTGAGAGCCGAACGCCAAGACGTCCCTGGGGCCCTGGCACATTCCTCATCAGCTGGAAACTTAGTGGCTGACTATACTCACAGAGATGCATACCCTCTGGTAAACTAACAGTTTGCTATTGAAAATTGCCATTTATAGTGGATTTTCCCATTAAAAATTGTGATTTTCTATAGTTATGTTAGTTTACCGGAGGGTATATAATAATTAACAATAATAACACTGGTTTCTATTACACACACGTATATACATATATACATGCATATGCACGTACCTATGTATATGTGACACCAGCAAGCTGTGATTTGCATGATTAAGTGGGTAGGTCGCATTGTGTGTGTGTGTGACACGTACTCTTGCCCCAGCTGTAACACTACCGTGCAAGCCAGCCAGGATTGCTTATTATATATATGCACTTCCTACAGTCACATCACTTCCAGAATTCTAAAAGAATATTTAGGGATGTTATGATGGAAAATCGGGCCTAGTTTTGGGCAGATTTTCCCTTCAAACATTTGGTGACAGGCCCCTTCTTTGCGTGCAGCTGGACAGAAAGTCCTAGAAACAAAGGCCGTGCCCCGACTTGGACGATATTCATTGGTGGTACTTTTTGCCATATGCGCACAAGACTAGACGAGATGTTAATGTGGTAAGCTCAATTTCATATACCATCCCCAAGTCATCACTATTTTTGTGGGATGTTTACCATCCCCAAATAGTAGCTGTTTATGGCTTATGGCAGCCGCAGGTCGACACCGAAGGTATGTCGCGCTCTCAAGCCCTGATGGGTCGGGAGACCTAGACTCTGGACCCCCTGATGACCACCAGTAGATACTAGTAGACTCTTCTGATCTATAGGATACTACAGGCCTAATATGGCTCAATGAATTTCAAGGGTATTAATCAAAGTGTACAAAATATTGAGAGAAGCCTGGCATTTTTGAAGCGGAATTCGGAAACACTGAATCTGGGTCAAATTGGGGGCACCAATGTACAGGGTCAATAAATTGATATTCAACAATCATCAACAATCCATTTTGAGGGTTGATATTCTGACCCATTCCCAGGTCCCAAGCATGTCATATCACATGACATTGCCACAATCAAATCCAGAAGCTCTGACAGAAGCTGAGTCTCCCAGCAGTGGCTTCCAAGGTCTACGGCTAAATGTTCCCCGAGACCGCTTTCGAAAACCTGCGAGCACGCAGCAGGACTGGCAGCTAATCAGTGACTGCCACTGAGATGCACCCCAAATGTCACTGAGAGTGGCTTCGGCATCCAATTTCGGTTTAGCTATGGCAGGAGCTAGGTGGTAGCCTCAGCAAATCTTAGCATCGATCAGGACATATGGAGATCAGTCCAGTCGACGTGGATTTTGTTTAGTGATTTGTTTAGTGATTTCCAATGATTTCCATATAATAATTTGAGTTGATCATTACAAAGACCGCCTGGCAGATTGGCAGATCATCTCCAATCTCCACTGTACCGGGAGTGAATTCGGCATGTTTTTGATCTCGCCAACTCGGCTCGGCAACTGAGTAAGGCTGGCGGCAGCCATTGGAACGTGGAGGATTGCGTTTCAACTACGGTTTGAAACACGACGACGGCATTTGGCCCTCCCTCTAAGGGTGAGGAACAAGCTACCGGAATAGTAGGAATTGCCTGTACAGCAAGTGTTGGACGGCCTAGAAAATGCACAAACGAACATCACAAATCATCATAAGTCTTTCACTTCTAGTTGAACGCGGCTGGAACCTGTTTTCATCTTGTTTCTTAATTTATCTCAATGTCCTTGGTGCCGGTTCCTCTCTCTCTCTCTTATATCATGCAGCAAGATGTCATGGATGGTCCACATTCTCTGCAGAGCTCCCCCTGCGCCGTTCGACCATGTAATTTTAGCCCGTGCCCATAGCAGCCATAGCCATCGCAGCCATCGCAGCCTGGGCTGTTTCACCACACCTGCATCGCCTGATGGGTTCACCTGCTGCCAGCAGGGACCATAACAAGCTTTTGAAACGCTCCATAGGTACATGGGGGCGTCAGCTTGCCCACGCACCGAAGGTGCTGTGTCATTAAAAAGATGTGGCATGATGATCGGCATGATGTGGCTATGGCTGGAACATGGGACATTTGTTGTGTCTAGATATGATGTGTTTGGTATATGATTATTTGTGTACCATCGATTGGGCATATCATTTTGAGCCATTAGCACATGTCAGTGGGTGCTTCAGCCTTGATTCCAGCAGTTTCTGAGCCAAGATTTGGTGATCCCACGAGGGGTTCCATCACATATTGATAGCTGCTTAAGATAGCTGGTTGTTGGTGGTTTTGATGTCAGCCCTGCCGCTCCCAACTCTCATTCACCCAGGCCCCTGGCAGATATTGCTCCATGGCGCCTTAGCCAAAATTTGACGACAGTGTCGAAGTGTGCGAAGTAGGGACGCAAACAAATTCCACATGTTGGAAACTAGGTTCAAGAAGTATGTGAGATTATGTGAGTAAGTCAACATATGTCAACATTTTAGGGCACATTATTGCATAGATCGATAGATACGTCATGATACATTTGCATACGCCCAAGCACTGGATCAAAGCCATGAGGTCACCCCTGGCCGTCCCTTCCTGTTGGCAGAGAATCAACATCCATAAGTCCAATTCTAGGACACCTTCAATGATGGAGGATGATGGATAATGATGGATAATGATGGATGATGATGGATAATGATGGTAACTTTTTTTCTAATCTCTTTGGTGGTTCCTTTGTTCTGTGCTTCCCTTCCCTTTGCACCGCCTCCCTAGGCCCGCGCGTGCTGCGCATATGGCAGTGCCTCTGCCAGATGGGGCCAGGATCTCAATGCGCCGAAATGGTGATATCTGGAGATCCTCCAAGGAACACAGCTATGGAAGCCATGGGGAATATAGTTTTGTCGTGATTTAGCTACATAATATATATATATATAATTATATATATATATAATTATATATATATAATTATATATATATAATTATATATATTATATTTCAATTGCGATTTTCCATAGCTATGTTAGTTTACTGGAGCGTAGGCCCTGACATATTCAAAAAATAACAATAAATGGTGATGAATGAATGACGATTAGAATTGGCACTTGATTCATAAACTGTTGGTTTATTACTTTCTGTATCAATAGTAGACGGCTAACCACTGGATTCTGATGGATTCTGGGGGTCCCAAGCCGGGACATCTCCAAACAGGTACCCCTTTGTGTTGGTCAAAACTTAGGGCCAGGAGATCACCAATGTATCTCTCACTCCCTACGCACCTTCTCAGCTTGCTTGGCCCACAGCTGTTGTTGGCAGAAATGGAAAGCGTCATCATGTTGACAGCCACAGCCACTGCAATGGTTAAGACACTTCCTGCTTGACCATTAAACTGCTTGACCTACTGCATATTTAGAGCCATGAAACTCTTGCAAAGACATCAGAGCATCCTTGCCCTTGAAAGCAGGATGTGGCGGGATGATAGGTCGCAATCTCCATTAATCCAAGTTCCACGTGCACCTAACGGAAGCCCTTGGATCCCTTGGTTTTTGCGTCGTCACAGAGTTGTCGCAAGATGTCACAGCACCAGCTAGTACAATTTGACCAAAAATCCACAGCCATAGAAGTCATGGCGCTTGCACCCAGCTTGCGTGCCTTGGCCACTCCGCGAGCACTTGCAGCCCCACGTGCCACAACTACCCGGAGCTCTCGTGGATTGCCGCCACGAAGCGGAAGTGAGCTCGTTTGCGGAGCAGCTGTTGCTACAGCCGCATGCCGCGCGTATGGGAAACGCCGCAGCAAGAGGCGTGATGTCATGTAGTTTCAGTTTCAGTCACACCTTTATCTTGTTTTGATGTTTGACCTTGGCCCATGGTGCCCCTATGTGCCCATGGTGCCCCTATGTGCCCATGGTTGTGATCAATGCAGTGGGTTTGTTTCTTTCTATTTTCGGTGGGGCAAAGGTAAAACAAACCCATGAGAAAGTGACTGTAACCATTTGCAACTTCTTCGTCGCCGTCTCATCTCTGAATATGACAGGCCAGGTACTTAGGCAGAGGTCGCTTTAGCCCTGCTGTTGAAGGCACAGTTTCGTGGTTGTGCGAGCGGCCGCGACGGACACAGCATCATGGACAGGACTCAGTGATTTGGATCACTTGGCACTTCTTAGGTCAATTGTAGGATGTAATAAAAGCAAGAGTTGCAGCAAACGTTTCTGTCGTGGTTGTCCCCTGTTCTTTGCCTCCTTCTGTAAATTGCTTCGCAGAGCAGAGGAATCCACGTCTTTACTAGTGGTTAATGATGTTAACGGTCGAAGGAGAGAAGGTCCGCGAAGCCTACATCAAGTTCTTTGTGGATAAGAAGAAGCATGACTTTGTTCAGTCCAGCCCTGTGGTGCCGCTGAGCGATCCTACCCTTCTGTTTGCCAATGCTGCTTGTCACAAAAGTTTCCAGTCTTTCCAGTGCCATGCTCCAAAACAGGGACTACGGGAGCATTCCTCTGGCTGAGGCTGGCATGAATCAGTTCAAACCAATCTTCTTGGGACAACTGGAGCCCAACAGCCCGCTGCAAGGTGCGCTTGACTGATGGGTCTCAGTCATTTTTCGTTGCTTCCTGAGTTTGCGCCACTTGTAAACTTCATGCTGGTCCATAGGCTCTGGGGGTTGTTGCCTATTGTAGCTGCTCACAATGACATTCCTAGCAGCTGAACCATGACCGGAATCGGGCAACACATTGTTGGGATTCATGGAGGAAGAGATCCTGAATTTAGAGGGACATCCAAAACCCACTGAAACCCACAAGATTTCAATCGTGCGTGGCCCCAATCCAAAGACATAATCCCAGCCCCTAATACTTAACCTGAAATACCATCCAAAACATCCCCAAACACCCTCTAGTCTATTCATTTATAATTAGATATTTATAGTGAATTTTTATGGGGAAGGGATTGCGGAGCCGACGATCATTGACGTCTTGTGCTAGGCGTCACCAGAGCCGCCAACAGTCAGAAATGCATACGTGCAGGTGGTAAACACAACGATTTAGCACCTTGGCCACGAATTGGGAGTTCGAATCTATTGGAATCGAAATTTACGATGATTTTTCAACATGTGTATTTATGATTAATTTATGGCGATTTGTGATGATTTGGAATTGATTGGACTGTATGAAGGTTGATACCCCCAGGTGTTGGGTTCATGGCATATGGAGCGGCTGACCTGGGGCCCAGGATGATGTGGGAAAGGATGTGTACCACCACACCTTCTTTGAGATGTTGGGAAACTGGCAACTTTTCAGCAGAGGTGGTGGGGTCATGGACTGTGTAGGGATGGGGGGGTAATTTGGCCTTGACCCAAGTTGTGCTGACTTGAGCTTGGCGTTTGTCGAAGGTTGACAGGAGTTGAAGTCCAGTCATTATTCACCTCCAACAAGGTCCTCTAGATGCATCAAGGGGTGAACACCTTTCATTTTCATCATTGTTGTCAATTGTTGTCCAGAATTTAATCACGAAAGCTAGCGTCAGCTAGCTGGAGTCTTCTTGCTTTAGCAAGTATTGGGGGGGCTGCTCAAGGACATCACGTGATTTTTCACGCGAAAGGGGCCCCCCCCCCCCTCCTCCCACCATCACCACCATCACCACCATCATCATCATCATCATCATCATCATCATCATCGTCATCATCATCGTCGTCATCATCGTCGTCATCATCGTCATCATCATCGTCATCGTCCTCTCCATCGTCCTCGTCCTCGTCCGCGTCCTCGTCATCATCATCATCATCATCATCATCATCATCGTCATCGTCATCATCATCGTCATCATCATCGTCATCATCATCGTCATCGTCCTCTCCAGCGTCCTCGTCCTCGTCCTCGTCCTCGTCATCATCATCATCATCATCATCATCATCATCATCATTGATCATTCATCATCATCATCATCATTCATCATTCATCATTCATCATTCATCATTCATCATTCATCATTCATCATTCATCATTCATCATTCATCATTCATCATCATCATCATCATCCTCGTCGTCATCATCATTCATCATTCATCATTCATCATTCATCATTCATCATTCATCATTCATCATTCATCATTCATCATTCATCATTCATCATCATCATCATCATCATCATCATCATCATCATCATCATTCATCATTCATCATTCATCATTCATCATTCATCATTCATCATTCATCATTCATCATTCATCATTCATCATCATCATTCATCATCATCATCATCATCATCGTTATTCAATTACATTTTATCATTATTGGCAATTATTGTCATTATCACGAAAGCTAGCGTCAGCTCGCTAGAGTCTTCTTGCTTTAGCACGTATTCCGGGGCTCCCCAAGGACATCACGTGATTTTTCCCGCGAAAGGGCCCCCCCCTGCCCCCTCCCCCATATATATCATTGTTATATATCATATATCAATATATCATTGTTGCATCCTCGTTAGGACGAACAATGCGCGACACGATGATGACAGTCCCTCCGCAACTCACCTCTTCCCTTCCTTCTTTCTCCTACCCCGCTAGCTTTCGTCATCCACCCCCGGCCTCAAGTCTTCAAATATTTTCAAGTCACCTTTTCCTATCCTTTTCCTATCCTTTTCCGGCGGGACAAGGAGCTTTGGCGACTACTTCAAGGAGGAGGCGATCGACTGGGCCTGGGAGCTCTTGACCGAGGCCAAGCGGAACCGGGGCCAATAAGATTCAAGAAGTATTGGCAAATAAATATATAAGTTCAAAAAACCACAAGTTAATCAATCTATATATATATATATATACATATTTAATATATGTATAGTATAATACATATATTTATATATATATATAATATATGATTATGTATATAATTATGTATACATTCATATGCATGCGCCAACATATAACCAACCGTAAAACTATCCTCCAAGTTGGGAGGTTTACGGCTTGGACGAAGAGCGGCTCTATGCCAGCTATTTTGGTGGCGATGAGGAGCTTCCTGGCACTGCTGGCGCCTGGAAAAGTCAATCGAAATTCTGAGCAAAAAATGGATATAGAAATTGGAAGGAGTTGGATAGAGTTAAAATGAATTATGGATCATCTCCATGAAATTTGGAATGGATAGAACATGTGGGGACTCTTGGAGCCTCTAGTTGGTAGATATTTGAGATTAGCAAGAGTATTTTTGCTGGGAACACGCGACAAATTAAGCTGGTGGGTACTCACCGAATATCACCGAATATTTGGTACGAATGAAGGATTTCAGATGCAGCCAGCCCTGTGCAAGCTCGAGGCAGTCAACAAGTTCACTTCCATGGTTGGGGGTACTCCACTGGAAATTTGATCATATCCTTCTCTTAGAAAATGGTCCAGTTGTGGAGTTCCGTTCCCACTGTGATTCTTCAAGGCTGGCGCAGCCGTGTCCTGCAGTCGTACTGTTGGGTCCTAGGCTTGGACTACCCGAAGACCTAGAAGCCAAAGAGCTTTGGTTGCGGCATTTGCCAGAAAGCCGTGTGCTTCCCTTCGGCAAGAAGGACTGTAAGAGTCAAGGGTGCAAGGTTTAGATGGGTTAGCTTCGCAGGAAATAGATAGTTCGGCACTGATGCATTGTTACATTTCATTAAAATGCGGGTGTATATGCGATTGCTGGTTGGTGGTTTCAAACGATTTTTATTTTCCATAATATATGGGATAATCCTTCCCATTGACTTTCATATTTTTCAGAGGGGTTGAAACCACCAACCAGGATTATGTGGGGGAACATGTTGTCCCGCACCGCGACCCAGTTATACCCAGTTTGTGGCTGGGTGTTGCAGGACAACTTCTGGGAGATGGGTGCTACAGGCAGGGACGCCCTATGGGGAGGAGTCTTTTCTTTGACATCATGGACAATCCGCCAAGGCCCTTGTGGACCTTGCTCAGAGCTGCACTATGATCGACTGGGGAGCCGAGACGCGGCAGCTCTGGTGAATGCAGATGATCCCGATGTCATCGAGATTTGGACAGGGGGGATATGGGATCTCTGCGTAGATGGGTGTAGCCTAAATGGGATGTCATAAGAGTTCCAGTTGCTCATGGTGCCGACCACAGTTACTGCAGGCTTCCAGAACAGATTCAACTCACACCGTGCAGGAACCTGGTCTTCATGCAATTCTTCCGTGGTGATGATGGACGTTTGACGGAACTTCCCAATCGACACATTGACACGGGAATGGGCTTGGAGCGAGTTACCTCGGTGACTTGGACTTCTGCAATTTTATTAATATGTTTTAATGGATTTTTGTGGCATTCAATTCATAGCATTCCCAAAATGGATGATTAGACTAGTGGGAAACCTGGAAATGATGAGAAACAGATCGCACATGATATCTAGGAAAACTTTTTCGTGGTCACACACGGATATATATATAATTATATATATATAATTGTTTTTTTGTGGAACATACATTATATATATATACTTATCATCTACTGTAATTATGTAATTATACACGGATGTCTATCCATAGAAGCTGACAGCATTGCCTCTCATGAGGGCATACCTACATTGTGGACATCCATTGCCAAGCAGGAATCATGTTACAAGATAGCTAACATGAAAGCCCCTAGAAGGGACTACCATGTTTTTTCAGTTTGAATTCATGCAAAGAATTGCCCCCTTCCTTGGACAAAATCCTGCACTTTCAGTTTCTTGGTCTTTTGGACCTAAGCCTTTCAGAGTGGCAATCGAATTACCCTCTGGTGAACTAACATAGCTATTGAAAATGACCATTTATAGTGGATTTTCCCATTAAAAATGGTGATTTTCCAGTTCGCTATGTTAGTTTACCAGGCCGGGTAAATTAAGTCAGCACTGAAATTCCTCAGGGTGCCAAAAATCGTGTCCTGGCAGCCAGGTCCTCCAAGATATGAGGAGCAACTACGACACTGACATTTTTGGTCCTTTGTTGGCCGCAGTGCATGACTTGGTCGGAGGCTGTGGTATCCTGATGTCATTGGAATTTTGAAACCCATCATGGAAAAGTCAAAGAGAACAAAATGCTGGAATATGCTGGAGTTGAACCATGCCCAAGAAAATGTCATTGGAGAAGCAGGTGTTTGTAAAGCTGGAGTTGCTGATTTGCATCATTCTTCATGCTTGATCCACAGCATGGCAGGTGAACCTTATGAGGGCAGGGTGGGTGCTGATGATGTGGGGATGAGGGACACCGCATACAGATTTTCGGCAGCATGAAGGGCTTGGCATCTGCTTGGATTTGCTGAAGGGTGAGTGAGTTTAAACCAATTGGTTACTCCACTATGTAGTAAATCTACCAGGAATATGTCCACTTGATTTGGGCCATCTCAAGCTAAGCCAGAAGAATTGCCTTGTGCTGTTGGTTTGCATCTAGTCGCCTCCGTATTCTTGAAGCAAGAGACTCACATGGGAGTGTAGCACCCGAGGAATTGTTGTTGACCACGCTCGAACCCTCACCATGGCAGTCGCAGATGGTGCAACGCCATCCTCTGAAGGAGCCAAACAAGAATCAGCCATGGAAGAACTGGATAGAACTGAGGCATACTGGGCCAATCACCATACCGAAACTGGAAGTGATGCCTAAAGAATCCTAAAGATATCAGAATCGCCAGGACGTGGCTATGTCCTACGCCGCATTTTGCGCCGAGCGGTCCGCTACGGCCGCTCCAAGTTGGATGCACCTCCGGGGTTCTTTAGCAAGTTGGTGCCATCCTCAGTGGACAAGGTGGACAGCAGGTGCCCAACACGTCGCTGGAGTCTGAGGTGCCCAAGGTGGTGGAGTCCTTGAGTCCGGGGTTTCCGGATCTGACCAAAGCCGCTGGAGAGCGAGTGCAAGGAATTCTGCAGGATGAAGAGGTCACGCCAAGTCGGAAGGGACATGGCGACACTTCGAGAAAACTCAGTCTTGACACTGCAAAGAAAGTGGAAAACACTATGCCAAGAGACACCTTGTTGAATTCTTCTGACATGCACCAGCATGTCTCCATCTATATCTATATACCTCCCATCGTTTTTTTTTAAATAAAATATTTCAAGGTTCTGCATGAAACATTTGCCTAGAAGCCATGGGTGACCTTGAGTCAGAAGCCATGGGTGACCTTGAGTCAGAACATAAAATGTCAATCCAAAATGATCCACATATCAATAAATCATTACATTATATAATATATACATTATATAATATATACATTATAATATATATATATATATATTATAATGATACTCTATAAACAAGATCATCCAAACATCACCCACAAAAAACTACAATAATCCAACGAAATCGTGATCAGTTTGGGTTCCACGTCGACCGCTTAACACCGGACAGGTGGCGTTCGACCGCACAGTGGATCGCGGCATGCAGTTCTTCGATGGGCTGAAGGCGCGAGCGGAAAGCGAGGGAACCAGGGAGTAACGAGTTGAATATGGGTTGGATGTGGTTGGATATGTAATATTTGTAGTAGTTGAATAATGAATATAAATAAATTAATTTATACTTACGTAACTTACATATGCATAGTTTTTAGATGTTTTTAGGGGATATGGGTTGGGCCACCTAAAGAGTGAGTATTTTTTAGTGGGTTCGTCAGGATGTGATCATGGAGGATTTAACCAACAAATCAGCGGGCTGAGAATAGGAAATCATGGAGAGAACTCTTGACCAACAAGAAGAAGGATAACCACAAGAAATTAAATTGAATCCGGAGCAGATGTAGGATCTGACAACAGCGATTGGGGCCTTTGCAAGTGTAAAGCAACAAAGACTCAGGGTGCACCCTGCAGCCATGATTCTACCAACCCACCATGGAAACCTAGCAAAAGAGTTGGTTCAAGTTGGTTTAAACATAGCCAAATTGGTTGATTTTTCTTGGAATTTGACGAGCCCACAGACGTACTGGCAGTTTTTGTAAAGTGATAAATCAACATGAACTATAACTTGTAACGTATAACTTATAACATATTGTATCATATGATCACCTTACAGTTTTTTGGGTGTCCCCGTGTCCTTCATATCACCCGTATTCATGCCCAAGCATCATGCTGAGGGATGCGACTGACAGCGAACCAAGGGAAAGGGGTCACGCATGGCGAGTAGGTTGTGGGATGTTGTGGGCTATGACCATCCTTTGTGAAACAAGAACCAGCAACCATATTGCAGGACCACTCGACCAGGCATTCTGCGCAGCTGACCCTGCTTTGAGGTGGTCCAAAAACAATGTCAAACAAAGAGTTCACATCACATTCTCCAGGACGATTGTTCCAGATGTTGGATGGCTAGAACAAGAACCTCCCAGTCAACCTTTTGTCCAACTTCAGGGGTCCAAGGTTGCTGCTTCAGCATCACTGGGCCAGGCTGAATTGGAGAAGGAGGGTGCTAAGGTGGTGCCTGGCGACCAGGCGTTCCTGCTCTACGACAGCCACGGCTTTCCCTTGGACCTCACTGAACAAATGGCGCTGGAATCTGGGCTTTCGGTGGACATTGCAGGCTTTGAGGCGCCGGGCATTTTGGGATGGCTTGAGCTTTGGAGATGGTTGGGAAAATATGTATGTGATCAACTGCATCAGTTGGCATTAATTATGCATAATATATATATATATGTATATATGTATATATATATACACACGTAGGACGCATAATCGCACACATTATTTTTCAATGTATATACACATGTTATATACACGGATATTTTTTTGGTATTTATATATATATATATGTATGTGTGTGTGTGGTACGCCTGTGTGTCTGTATTTAGGCTGGACTTCGGTCCTGTTTCTTGATGTCAACGGAAATGAACATAGAGACCCAGTGTACGTATTGGCCTCCCCAAGCCATGTTGGTGCGGAGCTGGATTCATGTTACAATAGATATGACACAAATAATATGGGTACATATGTTATATTTTGTAATATCTGGTTATCCTGTTGTTGCAATATGAATATGATGATGATGATGATGATGACGATGACGATGATGATGATGATGATGATTTCCATGCAGGATTTTTTCCCACAGACTGCCTCCACAAAGTACACTCTTGGCTCAAAGGGTTTGCATGTTTTATAGCACCGCAAAGCCGGTGATTATTGAAGATGAAGATGAAACGTGTTGGGGCCATGCTCGCCACCAGCCTCGCATGCATTGCTGGCATGGTCATGTTCACCCATAGCCGCTACTGGTATCTCCCTTCCAAATGCCAGCTTGGACTTGACTTGGATGGCGAAGCAGGGTTTCAAATAAAGATGGCGACTTGGATTTGCTGTTGTTTTTTGAACATTTCCCATCGGATAATCTGCCATTTGAGGAATAATCTATAGGTGTAATTCCTATATTTTTTGGTTGCCATCTTCAACAAATCCCAGGCCAAGCAGGTATGGTTGCAAAGTGCAGGGTTACGTTTCTTCGCAGAAGGTCAGTGGCATGGCACCTCCGGCAAAAACGCGACGATGAATCAGGTGTCCAGACAACATTATATGTCCAGTGATGAGTTGGGAAATTTCTCTTGCGTAAACATTAGCTGGTCAGTGGCCACTCGGCAGAGCGTTTTGATTCACACATCCTTCAAGACCTATCTGGAAAGCTGCATGGTGATTCTGATCCAAGAGATTCCACAGGGTGTTCAAGGAACCAATGCATCAAAGGCAGTGATGCCCAAAGATGGTCATCAGCTGGAAGAAGGTGCCCATCCTCCAATCCTTTCTTTTCCATCCTTCGCAGTGGAGGAGTTGGAGAACCTGGGCTTCTTGACATGGAAAGGTGTCTTTGCCAAGGCCATTTATGGCAAGGGTCCCAAGGGTGTTGCCCAGCATTTGGCTGGTTTGAGTTCGAACGGACCGGTGCTACTTTTCAACCGGGCATTCAATACGCTGGTGGTATCTCCGCTGGACAACTTCAAGAGCGCAGTGCACACATTCAGTGCTGATGCAAATGCGTGGGAAACGGGTGTATCAAGTGAAATCCAATCTCTACCGAAAGGATTTTACCACCGCACTTTGATTATGGCAGGTGTTGGGATTACACAGGCCATGGACGAATATGGACAGACCATTCGGAAGGTTTACTCCACCAAGCGGCCGCTGCAAAGGAAGGATCCAGTCGTCAACTATTTGTCGTATTGGACGGAAGCTCGGTTGCTACTGTCCTACTGTTCCTACTGGCAGAACTCAACCATATCTATACCATTGTACTGTTTGAATATGAATGTGTATAAATAAATATGTATCTATGGCAATACGAGTCGTTCTTCAATGTCATTCATCATATTTTGCATGTTTTGAGTCTACCTCTGACCTGCTGTAGTATGATCAGTCTTATTTCATCTTATTTCATCAATTTCACGTCGATCAGGATAGCAGGGTACAGCTTCAAACATAAGACCAGCCCCGAGCTTCCCAGGACAATGGCGCCTATTACTATGGAGATCAGTGGAAGGAAGCCGGCGGTGGTGGGTCAGAGTGCAACGAAACTTCCATGACACGCGTTGCCCAGGCGTTACAACGGCAGGACTTGTTGAAAGCAGTGCGAATTTGGCAACTGGATGATTGGTGGTACCCTGGGCATCCAGCAGTTTGGGTGTATTGTGTGGAAAACTGGACCCTGATCCCACCTGCTTTCAACAAATCCCTCAAAGAACTCAGTGCTGTCTTGGGTAAACCATGGCTTTTGTATGTGCCATTCTTTTGTCCCAGCAATGTCTACATGAAGCAGTTCAAGTTTCTACATGGCTCGCATGGAGCCACAGCATTCACAGTCCCATACCCTGATGATGCTTTGGCTTTCTACCGCATGCTCTTTGACTACGGCATGGCCAACGGTCTCTCAGTTTTATTGCTGAGACCTTTTCCTGCAGTGGTTCCTTATAGACTCATAGGAAATCAGCCAGTTCCATAAACTTTACACTGCTCCTTACTCCCTTTACGTTGAGGCATGAGTGGCTTTGAGCATGACTTTTTGAACTTCAACTTTCTGGCGGTACCTCACTTCCGGCAGAACTTGGGAGCATCAGCACATTGGTTGCAAGCCATGGATCAGGCTGCAACGGAGAGGGCCTTGGCCCTGCAGTTTTGCATGGCGTTGCCCAGTGATTTGATGCAAAGCCTAGAGCTGCCTGGCGCGACTACCGGAGGGCAGGGGAATTGAATGGAATTGATGTGTCGCTATATACACATATACATTTACACATTTACACTGTACATATTTCAAATGTATAATACTGTACACATTGTTTCGTATGTGTGTGGTGTGCATGCATATACTGTCTGTATATAATAATATATAATATTATATAATAATATACCATATACATATATACATATATACATATATACATTATACGCCTACATATGCTGACTTGTTGCAGACGGCATCCCTGCCACAGCTTCGGAAGAGCTCACGCCAATTTGGCTGTTTTGGTTCTGGACCTCTTTGAACAGCACAGAGAGAGAGAGAGAGAGATCATACAGATTCTTTTCTATTCCATGAGGCTATGTCAAGATAAGTTTATCTACATGGCATTATATAATATTATATATATGTGCATGTATATGTATATGGAAGCATAAGTCATGCAGCCCAACTTCTTGTGAAGCAATTCACAACATGAACCTAGGCCTGACTCCACATGGTGCATTCTGCCACCAGATCTGTGTGAAATATGATGGTTACCCAAACATCCCAAACTGCCCCGCTGCTAGCATCAAAGAGGTTTATTGATGTTTATTTCTCTATCATTATCATTTGGAAAAATCTGCCACAAGTATCCAGTATCAAGTCAGGTTCGGGAGTACGACGAACTACCGAGCCAGTGGTGATTATGCTTCCTCTGAGAATTTCGACATAGGAGCATCTTCATTGCAACATGGTTGCATTTGTGTTTGAGTGGCTTTCATTTCTCTTACTTTCATTGATGTTCCCATGGATTTTCATGAATTGTCCATCCCGAATGACCTGGACGACGATTCCAGGTTGGGCTACGCCTTGCAACTGCGACCCTCCAAAGACAATCTGTGGACACATCGACCAGAGCAAGCTGCTGCCAGCGGCAAACCCTGGGGGCCGCACCAAAATCCTGGCTCCAATTGCTGCTGGTCTGGTGAATACCTGCTGATTTAGCATGCTGGGTGGGCTGCAAGCTGTGGGATGTTCGCTCATAATTCTTTCTTGCTTGATACAGTGCTATCATGTTGTATATGATAACATATGATAACTAATAATCGTAGTTGCTTTCTTTTGCTACCACCAGCGGGCTACACAAATCACGCTGAAACTCAGGGTGTTTGAAACATGTTGGAACTGGGGCCCTTTGCTGCAGCCAAGGCGAGCTGAACCTGCTGATTGCCACCCTCTCAACTGGGCCCGTGGGTGTTGCAGACCAGGCCGGAGACTCCAATGCCACGCTGCTGCTGCGCAGCATCCGCTCTGATGGCCTCATCCTTCAACCAGACAAGCCGGCCACCAGCATCGATGCAAGCTTCACTATGGCGCTGGAGCCATCAGGTCGCAAGCTACAGGGACACATTTGGGGCACCTATGCTGAAGTGGATGTTATACCTGCGCAGCTGCCATGGCACTACGTCTTGTCCATTGATGTGAAGGTGCCCTGGCAATTGCAGGTGGATGATTTTTATCCACCCCTAGCCATGACTGGTGGGGCTCGCGGCTGGGTGGCGCGCCGCTGGCATGCAGCCCATAGGCCAACGGCTTGTTTGGATGGTCAACTCGCGGTGAAATCCGGGTGTTTACTGGGTCCCAGTGCTGTGGCTGAAGCAGATCTGCCAAGAATTCTGAACGATCGTCCTGTGATGGTCGCGAATGACACCCATCAGTTTGATCTTCTGCAGCTGTCCCCCGTGCTTGAGAATGGCTGGGTTCTGCTAGGGGAACTGGGAAAGTACGTGAGTGTGTCTCGCAAGCGCTTCCCCCGCATGACTGTGACACCTGAGGGGCTTAGCGTTGAAGCCCTGGGAGGCCGAAATGAAGAAATCCAAATCGTGGCGCTTCAGCCGAAGAACCCTTCTAGACGAATCATGGAGTGGACCATCCATGAGAAAACCGTTCGATTTGACGCCAGTCAGATAGTCGTGGAGTTCAGGGCTGGAATGGTGTCTGGTGCCATTCAAGCCTGAGAAACCTGAGCTGACAGACAAAAAGGGATAACCAAAGGAGATACAGGATTGATGGTATGGTACCTAAATCCCGAATGGGATAGAATACCATATACATATCCATGCATAGAGATCTCTAGTTTGAGAGAGTTTGAGAGTTTGAGAGAGTTTGAGTCATGGGATGAAAAATGGAAGGGAATGATGTCTCGCCCCGTGGCCAGAGCTGGTGGGAGGTCCGCCTTCAATTGCTGCGCGATTTTGACCTGCAACTCTCAGATAGGGAATGAACATCCCTGGCTGTCAGGCTGCGATGGAACAACAGAAGGAACGTTCACGTGCTGCGCTGCGTGAGCAGCAGGTGCTGACTGTTGACCTGACAAAGGGACGATGGATGGAGGTATTGTGAGGTAATATGAATAATATGGTAAGCCCAAGCATAAACCTAATTACCACTTAGGGGCCTTAAACATATTTTTACATGTCTTTACCATAAGTTTATGGTAATATTGGGTACACAAATCCAAAAATGATATGATTGGGTATAAACCATCCATTTTTTTGATATGAGGTATGGTTTATTGTTTCGTTTACCACATTAGGTGATGTTGCTGCACTGTCTATTTTGGAACCTTTTGTTGGGCTGGAGCTCACTGCAATCCATGACGTCCACCCTACTAGGCACAAGAACAAGGTCTACGACCTCTGCAATTGGTAGCTGAACAAACTGCTGCTTGACTCTCTGCCCCGGTGATGGTAGTGCTTTTTTCTTTGGCTATCTGAAAAGAGGGAGACACCATGAGACAACACTCTTGGTCAAAAAGAAGACCAGGCAGTCATCTCACAAGGATGTATTCCGTATAAGAATGTATCTATACGTCCAATGTTGAAAACAGATATGTGCATCTTATACGAGATATGTATATGTATATATATATACACATATTACATATTTATACATATGGCCCCCCACCCCTCCAAACACGCCACAGGTCCCAGAGTTGGATAATGTTGGCCCCTGAGGCTTGGCTCAGTGATGAAAAGATCCCAGTGACTGACACTCGGCCATGTCAAATCTGTGTTTTTTTCTGGCGGCCAGTGGGGGAAAAATGGAATCTTGACACCAACTACGTCAATCTTGGATGGGTAGTTTGATCCTTTAGTCTTTGGTATCAATGGGTTTGTCTACTAACCAGCTAGACTCTAGACTAAGAATCTATTTTTTTGCAGGGTATCTAAGATTGGCCATGCCAAGGACGACCTGAAGAAATATACCTGGAATATCCGTCCCTCAGCTCGGGTCGAAGCTATCTACACACAGCAAGGCCTGCGGCTGACGGTGGACACTGCTGGCTGAGGGTTTGTCAACAAAACCGCCAGTGATCATGAGTTCCTGGCCAGGATTTGTCAACTCCAGTGCCGAGATCAAGGATCAGAGTGCTTCTGTCGGAATCGATACTAGTCTGAATTGGTCTTAGTCTTGACATCTCCAATGACAAGGAGAGACAAGGAGCAACTGGCTCAAGAGACACATGACATAGCAACATACACTGAATCTTTGGTGCCATTTTTGGGTCTGATGGGCCTACCAGCCCCATTTGTCCATGAGATTCCACCAGAAAACCAGGAGCCGAACCAGGAAAGCCGAACCGAATTGACGCTAAGACCTCGAGGTCAAGACATTTTTCCACAAACGATCCGTCTCTAAAATCCATTTGAAATCATTTGGGCACCAAAAAAAGACACTAGAAACATCCACGTGCAACAGATTCAACTATCTACCCTCTTTAAAATTCATACAATCATGGAAAACCATCAGTTTGATAGATATTTCATAGATAAATCATGAGTTCCTAAATGGGCGGATTTTTCCATGGCCTTTGTCTTCTTCTATCTCACCCGAGGGTACCACGGAAAATTCATCAGCATTCCACCGCGGGACCAAGGTACTGAACACCAGTCCCTTCTACGCAGAGGCTGGTGGCCAGGTAGGAGATCTGGGGCTGCTGACCAATGCCGCTGGGGCTGGAATGGGTTGGAAATTGGGGGGTATATGGGGGTATGGGGGGGAGATATTCCGCAATTTTTTGGGGATTTTCATTGGGAACATTCTGATAAACCATGGGATTTGGAAGGAACTACCAAAATTTCACTCAAATCCATATGGTTGGATCATGCTGGATCCAGTAAGCGTTGGCTTAAAGGGAATGGTTTTGATCGTTAGAGCAATAAATAGTGTTGGATCTATGTTGGAGGGTTAGAATATGTTAGAATACTGTATGTTAAAATTGATATAAAATGATCAGTTGAAATAGTGTAAGTTTTCCTACACCGAAAAAGGATAAAAGAGGTAGACGCCCCCATTTTCCACCCTTTTAGAAGCACACATGGCGGTTAGATAGCAGTTAACCACCCAATACCAGCGCAGTGGTAGGGCCCATGTTGGTCACTGCAAACCCCCATAGGTTCGTGTTTGAAATAGATGATTGTGTCGTTCCTCAAATTGCTATGGGCTCCAAAATCATGTTCAAGCCATCAGTGTTGTTGCTTGAGTCCATGCCATTTCCTGCCAAATTGGACCTTAGGAAGATGGAGAAGAGTTGATGAAGGTGAAGGTGGTGCAGGCTTCGAGAGGGATTCCACATGACTCCACCAAAGCCGGCTGACATATTGAGATTTGAAGCACGGTTGGCGATATTTAATGGTCAAGAAATTTAGAAGGTCCACAGGTGGCTGGATGCTGTGTTAATTCTGTATGATTCTGCTCATTCATCTGGAAGTGCATCATTTAATGGAATATTATGCAATATTATGCAATATTCATGGAACATTTATGGGTTCATCAACCAAAAAGACCAGAAATTCACCAGGAAATCATGACCAGCTACAGGTGCTGACTGGTTTCCCGTGAGGTCTTTGCGGGCTACGTGTTGCATGTGGGGCCAATGCCGGTAACCTGTGCAGTAGGCGATGAGGTCTTCTGCGAGGCTGGAAAGTGCACTTGATAGTGGGGTATGCTATAAAATTAAACCACATGCATTAAGTAACTTATAATATACAGTGTATATATGTGTATATGATATATATATATACATATATATATATTATATGCATATGAGATTGGGTTATATATACTATTTGAATATATTTGATATTATATTATATATTATCTACACGTGTATTCTTATATGTATAATCCTTTCCCCCTATTACTAACCCCTCCCCCCAAATACTAGAAACTAGGGCCCATCTCCAATTTTGGAAAATTTCAGATTGGCCAATTTGACTTTAATTGATCCCCTTTAGAAAACAATTTAAAAATAAAGCTACCATTTGTGGGTTTTGCCCCCTATATAATAATACTAAAAACTAGTTAACCCCGGGGTGTTTATTATTAGGGTCCGTCCGATTTTTTTAAGCTTTTTTTATTAGGGCTTTTAATTTCTTATTAGGGCCCGCTTTGAAAACCAATTTTTGGCAATATTTCAATTGCGTTATAAAAGAAAAATTGATTGATTTTGAACTCGGAAAAAATAGTTTTCATATGTTTTCATTATATAGGTTTTAATTTTATTAATAGGGTCCACTTCGAAATCCAATTTTTGGCAATATTATAATTACGTTATATAAGGAAATTTAATTGATTTTGAAATCAAACAAACTAGTTTTTATTATTAAGGTTTTAATTTTATTAATAGGGTTCGCTTCGAAATCCAATATTTGACAATATTTTAATTGCGTTATATAAGGAAATTTAATTGATTTTGAAATCGAACAAACTAGTTTTATTATTGAGGGTCAAAATTGATTAATAGGGTCCACTTCGAAATCTTATTTTTGGCAATATTTTAATTGCGTTATATAAGGAAATTTAATTGATTTTGAAATCGAACAAACTAGTTTTATCATTAAGGTTTTAATTTTATTTATAGGGTCCGCTTGGAAATCCAATTTTTGGCAATAGTTTAATTGCGTTATATAAGGAAATTTAATTGATTTTGAAATCGAACAAACTAGTTTTATTTTTAAGGGTCAAAATTGATTAATAGGGTCCACTTCGAAATCTTATTTTTGGCAATATTTTAATTGCGTTATATAAGGAAATTTGAGATCGGAAAAAAATGTTTTTATTATTCAGGGTTTAATTTTATTAATAGGGTTCCCTAATAACAAATACCCCCCAATACTAAAAACTACCTGAGGTGTTTATTAATAGGGGGGACGTTTAGTATTAGGGGGAAAGGATTATATGTTATACATTAAATTGGGTTTATATTTGCCATGTACACACACAGATATATATACATATATCACGCGCACACGTATAACATTACCAAGATATACCAATATATGTCAACGCTATGCATCATAACCCATGACTGCCAAGAGCCCATGAGGTGGACTATGAGCACCGGAGCAAGGTGGCTCCCAACCATACCATGACCCACGTGCTCAACTGGGCCCTGCGAGAGGCAGGGGTGGGAACACGGTGGAATTGGCGAAAAATGCAGGGGTTCTGGGGTTCTCTTAAAAAATATGGAACAGCCATCAGGGATCAATTCAAACACAAAATAAGAAAATATAACAACTGCATTGAGAAAGGGGCCACCCATCAATATCGAGCCAGGTTCTGGGGGATGGGCTCGATCAACGCGGTTCTTTGGTCACAGCTGACAGGCAGGTGGGACGGCTGGGATCGGCTGGGCAGATCCCAAGAGAACGTGGCAATCCAAGCGTGGTATTCTATGCAAAGAGTTAGCCTGATGGTTGTTGGAAGGAGTCCGTTTAGTGCAGAACCTTCAGCAAACCTAGCCACTATGGATTTTCCATGGAAATCCAGATGTTTTTTTGGAGGTTTTTTGAATGTCATCAGCTTTTTTGTTGCCAACGTCGCGCAGGTTGCGCTTCGACTTCAGCTATGAAGCGAGCAGCGGTGTTTCAGTGGCTGACCTTGAGAAGGTTGAAACTTTGGTGTCTGGGCTGAGCTTGGACCTGCGGGCTTTGTTTCACAATCGCAGGTCTTGAACTTGTTTCCTTAAAAATTTTGAACTGAATTTGAGAGGGTCACACATTCCAATATCCTCATCAGGATTGCCAATGTAGCCCTCTGGAGATTATAGTGATGTCAGTTCCAGGCCTCTCTTGATAAGTCAGGAAACCACTATATATACTGTATATATATACATACTTGATGGGGGAGAGAATCGGCAAAACCCATAGAAAAACCATGGTTTCCTGCAGAGTTTCCCTTTAATAATCAAAATCCCAATTCGTTGAGGTCCAGAAAACGGTGGATGCTGGCCTACCGGTCACATCGAAAGAGGTCGCTCTGGCGGACGCGCAGGCAGATTGCCATGGCCACTTTACATCATTTTGCCAAATGACACATGAGCTATTTCCTGTTTCATCCTGTTTCGATCAGTTTCTATTTAATATGTTGTGATGATGATGATGATGATGATGAAGATGATGATGATGATGATGATGTTGATATTTCATGATAGATCACCGGACCGCCGGATTGCTGTCAATTTTCATAGAGTCTGAGAGTAGAACCACCCCAGACCACTGGCCCTCGACCCTTGATCTCCACACCCCCCTGTAGCTGGCAGGCCATCTATGGACTGCGCGCTATGGCTGGAGAGGCATATCCAGATCCTGTCCGTGTGGTCACCGTAGGCAATCTGCCGTGGGACGTGGGCTAATTACGTGGGCTGATGTGGTGGTTTGGTATGTTTGGTGAGGATATACCTCCAATCTTCCAATTTCTAGAGAATTTCACAGTTTTTTAATGGACGATATTCGATCCACTCGCGGGAAATCACCTTCTTCAAGCAGTATCCAAATTTTCCTTTAGTTCTCTCAGATATCTCCCCAATTTTTGGTGACATGTCATATCCTCATGAAGCCAGTAAAATCTCTGGGAGCTCCTCGTTGCTCCATCTGGCGCCGCCGAAGCAGGTTCCCCGATCGAGGAGGTACTCCAAAGTCCTGGGGCTGAGAAATGGAGGGCGCAGTCAGTGGAGTTCTGAGACTTGGCCGATGAAGATGTCGTCATTTTAAGCGGAGGTTTCTTAAAATAGGGCCCCAATGTACACCAAAGTCATGGATGACCATTCTAGTATGAAACCCATGGTTTTTGGGGATCCATCATTTTAAGAAACTACCATATAGTTTCTATATTTAGATGTGCAGTTGTCTTCAACATGTCTTTCTGCAGGGGAAAAACACTATGGCTCACTATGGTGTAATATGCATTTTTTGTGGCAAGAGGGTGGTTTCCGAACGTTCCAGGAATTGGGGTGCCCTAAAACCGTTGGTTGCCTGGTAACAATTAGCAAATTTAGGAAACCTCAAATGGGTAGGTATGTGGCTTATATAAGTCATGACCCATCTAGCTGGACAAGACTCCTGACAGTTAACTCTGGACTCTGTAGATGAACACCTCAACAAGTCGGCATTGCTAAAGTTTCATGGTTGTTCTAGGGCTTCACTGGGTAGGCAATGCTTCCCCAAAACACTGGAAATGATCCCGTTGGGGACCCATGGCGTGGCAACAAAATGGATGATCTTCATGGATCTTTCATGATTCCATGACGTAAGGAGACATAAGGCGACCAAAATTTGAGGTCCCCCCATTTGGGATCTCCCCATGTCCCAACAGCTGAGGCGGTGGAACCCACATTGCAACCACTTCGGAAGCGAAGCATTTCGTGCTGCTGGAGGAAAAAGGCGCAGGGAGATCCAAGCTGGATTCCTTCCAATGCCGAAAAACATCGTCAAAACAATGGTAGATCGGTAGATCCTTTTAAGAACGGCCTTTCGAAGATGATCTATTGCTTGCATCATTTCGCTGTTTCAATCAAAAAGAGAGGCCCCTGGCTGTGCGTTTTTGAGGCATCGCCAAGGGAGTGCGGAGGATCTTTGCAGCGACTGGAGCAGTGGCAGAGACAGCTCTCGAGGATCTCTGACAGTAGTTGAAATGTCAGAAGAGAAATTTCACATGGTAAGATATGATATGAATATGGTAACCAACCAGCCAAACATCAAATCCGAAATCAAAATCGGATAGAAGATACATTCAACCAGCCAAACACTCGCTGATTAGCTGGGCTTGCGAATCGTGAGGAAGCGCAGCGCGTGGAAAAAAGGATGAACGAGTTGGAAAGCTCTAGCGTGGAGGACTTCCCTGTCGCCAACTTGTTGGAAAAAAATGGACAAGTTACACGCTTCGCCGTGTTGCAAAGAGGGGTTGTTGGATGTACATTTATTAAAAAATTATATACATAATTAAATCTTCTTGTTGTTTTTGGGAACATGTACTTGTTTGTTTCATGTGTCCAGCAAAAATTGTAGGGCACAGGATATCATATCCCAAATTCACCAGGAGGATGCCTTAATGGCCCTGCAGAAGGATTTGGACAGCCTGGTGCTCCCAGCCGTGCCCAAATCGCAGCTGCGAGACCGCTTGGGAGAACTCCGGAAGCAGCCGCCTGCCTTGATGCTGTGTGTATAGTTGGTACATAGAGGGAATATGTGGGATATACTTGGGATTCTTGGGATATGATGGATGATATATGCTCCAAATATGATTTGGGTGTGTCTGAAAATGTCGAATAGCCTCAAAATAGCAATTTCGCGGAAACATGATGATGAAACAAGGGATTTGGGGTATGCACCATGTTTGGACGAACCCATATGTCCAAAACATGTATCAGTCGGCTTGTGGTGATAGGGAGGCAGTTTAGAATCAAGTCTTAGATTGAGTTTGGCTCCCACAGCACACAACCCAGGTTGAAAAAGAAACAAAAGAAGAAGAAGAAGGGCAAAGTTAGCAAAGAAGAGCAAGCGGCCGCATTAACAGAGCTGAAGGAGGCCAAGAGCGGTGTGATGTACAGAGACGGTCAGCAATGCATGTGATGTTGAAGGACGGTCAGTAGTTCTACTCTCCATATAGCAGTGAGAAGACAAGTACTGGCATTTAACTATCAGCCGGCATGATTACGCCAAACTATCAAAGTTAAGATGGAATTATGGGCAAATACCAGCTGCGATATTTCTTGTCGATCTAGATATAGCATGATATATCTAGATCATTTCTAGATCAAACTTATCATTTTCGGGTAGTTTTAACATGTTTCAACATGTTAGTTGGCCCGTTGGCCCCTGATGGATCACTGCCTGGAGGCAGTGGCAGAGGCCAAAAGCCTTGGCAAGAACTTCTGTGTGAAGACCTTCCAGGGCGCAGGCGATGTGCGAACGAAAACTCATTGGAACATAGAAAAGCAGCTGTTTGAGGCAAGTTTTGACTAACCATTCATATATATATATATACATACATATCAACCATATCATATATGATATTGTAATAATATATAATATATATATATATATACATAATATATATATATATATATTTGTAGATGATTTCCCCATGTTTGCCATTAAAAGCCTCAAGCTTCTATGGGAGGAGGCAGCCTAAAAAACTTCGCCAGGTGTGGATGGCAAGAGCCTCCGCGAAGCAGCTCAGGGAGGTGAATTTGATATCGCCGTCATGGTGCTGAACCAGCCGAGTTGGATGCTCAGTGAAACTTCCACATGGCCATAGCGCAGGATAGTAGCTAATACTGTACTACTGATATCACTCTACAGAAACATACTATTATATATATATGTCTATATACATATTTGGGTAAATGATAACGACCTCACTGCGACCTGATAAGGGAAATCATCCGCAAATGGCCTTAATTCAGGTTAGTGAACTATTATTATTTACCCAGACATAGGTAAGAATAGCTGTACATTCACGGCAGGGAGAGAGGTGCATGCATACATACATATCATACCATACCATGCCATTACATTACATTACATGACATTACATTACATTATATACATAAATTCATGCACCGACCTGACAAAAAAAAGATGCAATACCATGGGTGAGTTGCTGCAGAATAGATTCCGTTAAGAAAACCTTGGTCCTTGGTGGTTTTCTTCGCTCAAGGCCCTAAAGCATTAGAATGCCTGGCTGCTGTGCCAGAAGCACTGCAATCGGAGAAAGCTGCCGGAAAGTGGGTGCAGGCCTGGGTGGGTGACAATGGATGATGCTATCGTATTACGATCAAGAAATATTCTTGTTGATGTTTATTGTTATGTGATATTATGGTACCCTATTCTTCCATTGGTTACTTCTTCTATATTTCTATAGACCGATGACGTTTTCCCCAAAGCTGTGGCCTTTTTTGATCCACGAAAACCCAGGCGGCACTTGCGACTGTGGGTGGAAAAGGTGGAGGGCAAGCGTTCTTTGGCAGAAAGCAGCTGAGGCTGTACTCAAACATGGCTGGCTGGGAAATCTATCTATCTATCTAATCTAATCTATTCCAGTCTAATCTAATCTGATCTAATCTAACCCAATCTTATCTTATCTTATCTTATCTTATCCTATCTTATCCTATCTATCTTATCTAATTATCTATCTATCTATCTATCTATTTATCTAATCTTATCTTATCTTAAGTCTAATCTAATCTACTGTAATCTAATCTAATCTTATCTAATCTAATCTAATCTTATCTTATCTATTCTATCTATCTATCTATCTGTCTATCTATCTATCTATCTATCTAATTATCTATCTATCTATCTATCTATCTATCTATCTATCTACTAGTATATGGAGAAAATAGAGAAAATGGAGTAAATATGGGAACATCTGGGAACTATTATATGGGAAAATTATGCATCAAATTGGATGGTTTTTAAGGGGAAAATATATCTAGTCTATAAAAGGAGAATGCATGGAGGTTGATAAAATGGAAAATCATCTATAAATATATAGACAATAATCTATTAAATCATCTATACGTGGAGGACTTTCCATTGCCATGGTAAACCCGATGATCGTTTATACCATCCGTATTCTGGTAAACTTGGAGGTGATTTGGCCAAAGAATTACCTCGTCTGGCACTTGGAGTATGAGCATGATCTATAAATACTACTGTATATTATAGATATCTTAATCTGATCTAGATATTGTTATTTGATCATATAGTAGATATTTGATCAATAGATACTATAGATATTTCTGTGTATCTAAAGGCATCAAAATACATCTACAGTACAATTTCCCAGCATAATGTTTGATGGAGAAATATTACGCTGAGGTAGACGGGAACAAGCGAAAACAGTTTTTGAGGAATTGGTGCAGAAGAATCAAGACCCAATCTTGGATGGTTGAATGCTACAAAGATTTGCACTCGCGGAGGGTTCCCCATTAGTGATCATCATAATAAGGTTCAGGTGATCAGAAAAAAACTCAAACCACCAGTTAAGCATGAATCATTGGTTGCTGCTTGATGACTTCAAAGTGTTTTCTTTGTTTTCTCTTTCATTCCAAAAAGATCCAAGAAGTCGAATGGTGATCCTCGATGACTCTATCAAACTATATTACCATATTATACATATGTATATATGTATATGTATATTGTTTAAGGGGTTTGAAAACATCAACCATGGGTTGAGTTTCAGGAACAGCCATCCCCAACCATCAGCGATGCCAAGGGCCTTCGCGCAAGGAGCGGCCAAGGGAGTTGAGGAGGAGGCTCTGCAGGTAGCTGCGGAGGCTGCACGGAACTTCTGAGTGTCCGGAGGTCCGTGGTTGGGCATGGCTCACTAACAAAGGGATATCCACACGTTGGATCAATTTGGATAGGTATATCCACCAGACAAGGGAAAACATGCGGAAAACATGTGGATATACCATAAGTATCCGGGTAGTTTGACGGTTTGACGCCAAAGGTTTTCAGAATGAATGCGGTGTGCCAAATATGGTGGTACATTTCACCAAAATGAGCCATACCCAATTTTTGATGGGCCAGAATGGCTTGTCAACAGAGACCGGCAGATTCCAGCTGTTGCTGCATGGAATCTGGGTGCCTGGATCAAGCTTCCAGGGTCCCACCCAAGTCTTTGCATTGCCTCAGATTTTCCATGTGTTTGCTGGATTTGCCTCGCTTGTTATGGGCTTAGCCTGGGGATCCCACGGGCCGCATATAGCTGTTCAGTCAACGTTGTTGGTTGGAAAACATTGGAAAACAAGACTGCAAGAAAGCATAAGAAAGTGCAAGACCAGCATGAGATCTGCATTTTCATCGATTTTCACCTGATTTTCAGCGTGAACCCTGGCAAGTTTTTGCTGGAAAGCATGCTCTAAAATAATCTGGCGGCCCATGATCCATGTCAGTTCTGGTGCATCCCGGGCAGGAAGTGCCTGTAAACCATCTACTAGTCTCTCTGGGGTTTATCATCTATATGGAATCTATGATTTTCCCAAATCCCAAGTATCACCTTTTGAACGAACCATGATTAAGATGTGTTTACTAACCATATCATATGCCAGAACTGCTAGGCACAACCTTTAGGTTATCTGAATGTTTTTTGCCATCCAGGCTCAAGCCTCCAGGTGGCGCCAATGAAGCCTCGAGCTCGAGCACTGGCCCGTGGTGCACAGCTCTTTGCTGGGCTGATCGGATACCCATCCCATGGCCACAGCCTGGGACGCCTGGGAGGGTTTCGAAGCACTGCCACGGTGAGTGCCCTAGGCGCTGCCAGCCAACGTCTTCGCGATGCCGTGAAGAGCAAAGAGGTCACGGCGACCATTGCAGCGGAAGCTGATGCGCCAATCAACAGATCAGCTGTGCTGGAGCGGTTGGGACATGAGTTGAGAGAGTCGGATGATACCATGGAAGTGATGCTGCTGGGGAACCCTCTACCCTCTGATAGAAAGATGGCGACTTTTCAGACACCCACAGCACCAGAAGGAGGTAGCCCCAAGCGCACTGTGCATGTTGCCCTTCCGAATGTCGAAGACATTAGCAAAGTCATCTCGGAAAGACGGGAGCAAAAGCTGGCAGTACCCAAGGCAGATGAACTAGTGAAGATTTTGGACAAATACTTGTCCGAGGAGTTTCTGGGCAAATCCGCGGAACATGTTGCCATGCTCACTGCATGGGGCCCAAAGGCCATTGCAGATAGTGAAGGAGAGTTTTGTGAGGTGGCAGCTTTGATGCGCCTATCCCTTGCAGCCTATCAGGCCACCCTTCAGGCCAATACCTCGGATTTCCAGTTTGAAGTTGCCCGTGCCGGTGAAGGCCGGGATTGCCTGGTGATGCCACCCTCCAATTTTGCCTTGCTGGGGATCAAGGACACCTTCCATATGTTGCTGAAGGGCTTCAGGGTTCTTCTCATTGTTCAACCACGCTTCTTCCCACATTTTCGAGAAATTCAGTTGAGCCTCAGCTCCTGTGGTTTGCCTGATGGCCTCGTAGAAGTACTTCCAGGCATTACTCCAGAAGCCGATCCTGCAGTTTTGCATGAGGCCTTGAAACATGTTGACCGGCTTCAGTTCACCGGCTCCTCTCAGATGTTCAAAAGCTTGGTGCTGAAAGCCATTGAGCTAGGCAATACGCGCATGGAACACGCTGGGGAAGTCAGTGGCCTCAACAAGGTGCGCCTGAACGGTGTCTCGGCCTCCCACCCGGCGGTTGCCCGGGGCACCGCCTGGGCAGCCATGGCAAACAACGGGGAGCTGTGCACCTCAGCGTCCCTGGTGGAGTTCGACCCGGCACTGGACACCGTGGAGGCTGTGAAGGGGGCCCTGTTGGAGGCGGAAGCTGCCTTTAAGGCGGGGCGGGATCCGGCGGATGACAGCTTGGACATCCTGCTGCGGGATGGCAAGGCGCAACAGCTGGAGGTGAAGACAGAGAAGGAGGGCTTCAGGGAATGGTGGGAGAAGACTATTTTGGCCAGTCCACAGGAGCAGGCGGGGATGGGGTAAGAGATTTCTCAACATGAGAGAGAGAGAGAGCCCCAAAATGGATGTTGATCCCAAACGCAAAATGGACACAGCTCCAAATTGCACTCTATATTCTCTTCATTTTTGGGATGTTGAATAGGTGCAGTGGAGTACCCAGCCAGTTTTGACCCATAGCCAGGTGAAGCTCCAAACCAACCAATCTCTGGGACATTGCATCTACGCACCCTCCATTGAGAAGGCATTGGAAGGCATGGATTTGCTGAATGTCTGTTTTTACATGTTTTTACCCTCTGGTTATTTAATGTAGCTATCTATGGCTAATCACCAGAATCATAATTTCGTTTTTTTTTTTAAATATATAGGTAAATCAAATCAAACATTTGAGTCATTTGAAGGAATCTACTCGGACTACATGGTACTATCCAAGTAAATTCCCCAAAATTTGATGACAGAAAGTCCCAGCAAATACTTTTGGTTCACAAAATGTCGCTCCCTTGATTAATGTGGGAAATCCGATGATAAACCTGACATTTGGGAATGCTAAACATACCACCCATTTTTCAACAAGATGATGCCTCCAATCAACCAATCCCATCAACCATGATTCTCCCATAAATTATTGCCCCATTCTTCGCCAGTATTAACCTTATTAACCATTCCATGATTATCCCATAAAATATCCCATTCTTAGTAAATTATGTAACCATATGTAACCATATGTAACCATTGATTACTCATGGCAAACTCCACCTTCAGGTGTGACGGAGGAGGCATCCAATCTCTACTTCGTTGGCGTTCCGGCGGACACCTTGGCCCCTTCCGCCCGCGCAGGGACCACCGGCGCCAAGCTGCCGGAAAGCACCTTTGGAGGAATGAAGAGCTATACCTATGCCGTGGCGGGAGACCATGATGGCGTTTCTGGATCCAAATTTCGGAAATTCTAGCGATGGTTAGGATTGAGGGAATCCCCAAAAGGCGGCTGAATTCTTTCTGATTTCAGAATTGGAATCATGTTAATTTGCCAAGATCATGATCCTTTTGAAGCGTATTTGGGATGAGGGTCATTAAACATCATTCTACAAAGCATATTTGGGATGACGTTCAATTATATAAACCACATGATTTTGGATTATGATTCTAAATGACTTTGATTTTTTCAAGAGGCCGTATCAACCACCAGGTTGGAACCATCCAAACCATCTTCGACAATACCAGGCGTCGAGGTGCCAGTTGGCGCGATCAGGAAGAAGCCTTTGCTCAGTATGAACTAACAGAAGTGGCTGAGATGTTGCTGGAATTCCTCTCCCCCAGAGATCAGCAGACTTTTTCGAGACAGATCTCCAACGTCCTGGAAATCTTCAAGGCTTTTGCACCGGAAGTCACTGAGCCATATGCAGGGCAAGGTTTGGTGAATGCGGAAGGTCGAAGTCAGCTGGTGACGCTTCTGGCCTTGAAGCCCAGCAGGAAACATTTCCTGATCCCACGAGGGGTGGCTGGATGCATATGTTTTTTTTTTAATAGTCAAACAATGGTATCTGTTTTTAAACAATAACATCAGTAATCCCCGCACTTACTTTTGGTGGGTTGTTGTTTTTAAAGATGTTTGATGGGGTGTTTTTTGGCCTCTAGAATGTTCTAGACTCTAGACCGTGAATAGATTTAGCATATAAATATCTAATAATATATATATATATATACATCCCACTAAAAGTTCAACTTTTGGTGTATCAAGCAAACCAAGGTGGGATTGCCCGAGGATATCGTGAAGATGGCGGCCCTGTGTGCCATGTCTCCACTGAAGGAAGTGCCGGCAGATTTGCACCTGCTGGATGCAGCGCAGGCTGGAAAGCTGCGAGTCACCGATCCCCTGAAGTCCTTCGTGAAGGTCGGGGTTTTTTCACGGCGCGTCGTGCGACTTTCTGGACATGGAGAGAGAATCTATAGATCTCAATAGGATTCAATAGGTCATGTGGGATCATGTGGGTACAATGTGAAGATACTCATTACGAAAGCCAGATGGTACAGTGAGTTTCAGGCGAGCGAATCGTGAGTATTTTCTGCGCACATCTACGCCCATTTGGGGACTATCACAAGCATTGAAGATCAATGATCCCCCAGCAGCGTCTTATTTTTGATGAACCAGTGGCACCAGTGGGTTGGTGATTTGGATGCCTGGGATCATTCACCAGGCTTCTCTCGTTCAGACCCTCTTGGTTGGGACATTGTTAGGATTACACCGCTAGGCTGAGGAGGCTGAGGTTCTTGGGCATGGGATAGATTCGCCCAGAAAATCCCCCAAAAAACTTGAATCTTGACGCTGCAATGCAGTTTCGAGGTGGTGGAAAAGAACCTCAAGTGGAGGATCCACTACCACTCAGATGTGGCAGAGCTGGGCTCCGCCCTGGAACAGGCCGAGCATCCTCCCTACTTTTTCTGCATCAAGGACCGGCACATGCTCCCAACGGAGGTCTTGAAAGCTGTGGCTCTGCAGGGAGGCTACTTCTACGAGGGCCTGCCCAGTGACCCGGAAAAGTTGCTGAAGCACTGAAGACCATCGTTTATTTTGCCGTTGAGAAATCAATGGAAATTTTCCCATCAACCATTAATTAATCACGAATCATTGGCAACGTGTGAATTTCCCATGATTTATTGAACTTCTGACTTCAGGCAGCTGCCTTAATAGCTGCCTTGACCGCGCCAGGTGACGCCTTCTCGTTATTTCGCTCGATGACCGCGACGCAGGCCTGGACAGTGTCCTGCACCACTGATCAGTTGAAAGAGGCGGAGGAGCAGTTGCTGAAGAGCTGGCATTCGAAAGGTCTGCGGGAAGATCCCCACGAGGAGCCCCACTGATTCAGAAATGTGTTTTTTCATCTTTTTCCCCAACAGGAATGCGGGCATCCAAGCAACAAAAACATGTGGATTGAAGAAGCAAAGATCATCAAAGATCAGGATTTCACCAGCCAATCTGGGGTTGACGCTATTTGAAGTTGATTGATGTCGCTGGGCTTATCCCATTGGATTTATGGTGGATATATCTGTATAGTCTATAGTCAGATGGATGTCAGATGGGATCATATACCGACTTACAACTGTCCGGTGCCCCTCCTGCCCGGCTGATGTTGATTTTAGTTGATGGAAAAGGACTGGAAGAAGGAACCCCGGTGGAGATGAAATAGGATCCATAGAGGAAACTATATAAATTAAATGATTAAGATATATTAAGATGAAATACTTACCCTACCACTCCATTTTCTTTGCTCCAAAAAGAGGAGCCTGAAATCATCAAGCCCAAGAGTCGGGAGATGGACATTGGTGGTGGCTTTGGTGACACAGGGATACCAACGTCGGATGACAAATGGGACGAGCTGTCCGATGATTCCGAGTCAGACGATGAAACGAAGGACGTCAAGGGGACACCTTCTGAGACATCTGAGAAACCGACCAGTGGCTCTTAGAGCGTGATTGAGGATGCTTGTTATACCCTCCAGTAAACAGATGCCGGCAATGGAAAATCCTGAGTTCAATGAGGAAAATAGATACAGCATGATACAGCTACAAGTTGTTGAAGAGTTGGGGGTTTTCCATCGCCACGTCAGAAGAGGATCAGCAGCAACTTTGAAAGCTTTTGTGGCATCACCTGCCCAAAGTGCACAGACATGTTGCGATATGTTATTCATCCCAGCAATTTTGGACCCTGCGAAGCATAAAGTGCTTCATAGACCATAAAGTCGATCCCAGTGAAAAGAAGTTGCGGAAGGTTGCGGATGTAGATTTCCTGAATCATGTGTAGGAACTCCCAAGGATGGCACCCCCCATTCCCCAATATTCCCCGATGGCCTTCCTTTCAGCCTCCCATGGTGTCTAAGGATATCCTGCTCATGGGTGGCGTCGGTGAAAGACTCAGCATGACGAGCTCTGAAGACGAAAACCTCCAAGCACAGACAATGGTACTGCAACACAGCACAACTGCAACACAGCACAACTGCAACCCATCAAAAATGGAACCTCAAACAAACTCGAGTTTCTTTGGGGGGTTCAGACATCAGATAATCATAGATATCATAGATAATCACTGAACATCACAAGATAATCAGATAATCATTGAATCATGGTTTCCCCATGGTTTCCCCATGGTTTCCCCATGGTTTTCCCATGGTTTTCAGACGAAAAAATGACGGATGGAGGTGATTCTGGTCTCCTGAACGACGTGTGGCGCTGGACTCGCAGGTGGATGGCGGTTGCTATGGAGTGCGGTGAAATTTATCATCATTTAACCCATATTTACCCCTAAGTTGAGGGATGTTTAGGATTGAGACCATGGTTTCCATGGAATCTTCCAACATCCCCGGTTTTGGTGACGTAGCAGGCGGTGCACTCTTCTGGAGGACATGCAACCGCTGGAAGCTGCCAGGACAGGTCGGTTTCCCATAGGAGAAGACCATAGAACACCTATATGGGGATGGATCAGTACCTATACATACCATTTTTAGTGGGTTATTCACATCCATAAATCCCAGCTATTTTGATGTGAACTACAGGGGTACCAGGGTTTTGACCCATCCCCATATTTTGGATGGGTTTTTCCCTGGTTTAATGTTGATATATGTTGATTGAAGATTTTTACCATGATGCAGGTTTGGACTGGAGTGTAGCTACAAGTGCCCTCCTCAGAAAAAACAGGCTGAAAAGAGCTCAGATAGTGCTTGCTCATCCGGAGGGCGGGGGGGCAGGGCGGATATTTAAATCACAGCAACCGCGTCAAGCAGCTGAGCACCTCTCCTGAGGTGCCAAGACTCTCCGATTTATGGTCAGTGGGCACAACTCTTGTTTGAATCTCAGTTTGCAAGATGCAAAACTTATTTGGTATAGGTATATAAACCTTATATACCTTAATATTCTATAGGTATTCTTGAGTCAAAAATTTTGTATTCTAATTGGCACCTCAAGCCATGGCTGGCGAATTCTGGTCACGCCACCAAGGGATGCACCATGGGCACCCAGGGAGGATGCAGCTGCAGTTTGGACCAGCAGTGGCGTGGGGACACCCAAAATCAATCAAAATCACCACTGGGTTGTATAAATTTGTATACACCATCCTCAAAGGCTAGGTTTAAGACATTGGCAATTGGGGTATGATGATGTTGTTACATAGTAGACGGTGTACCACAAGTTGAAGTGTTGACACCCAACATTTTCCCCAACCAAATCCCATTGAGGTGATCCTGGCTGGAGGCCAACGGAGGATCTGGGATGGTTTTGGGTGTTCCAAAGTGACCCCCTGCTGCAGCGCAGGCCGCTCGGCGTTGGGATACACCAATGACGTTTGGCTGCTGGGACGGCAGGGGGATGAACATCACCGGAAACCATGGCTTCAACATGGAGGAAACCCCCAAATTCCCCAATATTATGACAACAAATCCTGTAAATCTTCCCTTCAACCAGTGTTGGGAATCATATTATTTTAGCCAATGCCACTGTTGTATACTTTTGTCACTTCCCAGTTCCAGCAAATAGAACCAGAGTTGTTCTTGCACTAGAAACTAGTATGTGGGAGTAGCATGTAGTACCAAGAGACAACATCCCTTGCTAATGAATTCCCTTCCCCTTTGTAAATATCAAACATCCCCTAAATGGTCGCTTAAATATGGGTGAATCCCCTACTAAACCATTGTCTATGGGGAGTGTTTCATATTAGGGGGAAGGGACTACTGATTCAACCAGTGCAATTATGTGCAATTAAGAAATCAAAACTACCAAAACCTCAAAAGTTTTGCCTGTGATCACTTTTTTAGAATGAGGCTTTGGCAATACGCTGGCGAGTTTTGCACTGCACAATGGCAGGCGGGGCAAAGAAGACCGGCTAAGCCCTCTGGCTTCAGGGGTCCATTGCCATTGATCATACAGATTCCTACACTAAAGAAACAGATCATTAAAGTAGAAAATGAAACCCTGGCCAATGCTAAGTCTCAACAGTGACGAATAATTTATTTGGTATTTGTTTTTAAAGAAACAGGGCAGCCCCAAATAGTTGATGCTTCTTGAACCGTCATTTTCCGCGAGAAAATCCGCTCAGGGCGTATGGACCCAGTTGACCCCACAAGCCTCCTGGCTTCCAAGACATGGTCATCGCTTGGTGCGCTGGGGGCCTGAAGGGTTGGCTTATCAATCATATGATGTTATATGATGTTATATGGATTTGTCAGAAAATTTCAGATAAACATATCCTATCATATCCTCAAATTGGCCATGTTCACGGGGGGAAATCCATACAGCAACGCCTGGGGATGGTAATCGCAGGTCGGCTTCGCTGGCGACAATGGGGAAGTGGAGACGGTCCGGGCGTGCTTAGTCATGGTGAATCCATATCAAGACTGCAATTTCGGGTTTTTTTTGACCACATTTATCCACATTTTCTCGATTTTCTGTCATACCCTTAAATCATTTGCATGCGCACACCTACATCATCCATCATCCGTCATCATCCCATATCAGCCATGATTGGTACCAATGGAATCCCACGGAAACATCTGACTTTGAATCATTTCGACTATATATATTTGACAAGGTAGAAAGACTATGATTTCAATTAAACATACTTTACTTATGCCCATTTTAAGCTGATTTATCATGATTTATCTACATCAACAAATCAACGATTCGTTGAAATCAACGGTTATTCTCCACCCTGAGAGGTGCTGCTTGTGGGAGGCTTCGGAGGTGAGCCTTTCAACAGTGGCAGCCCCAGTAGTTGAATAGATACATGACATAGGAAGATGGATGGAAGGATGTGTGACATCTGTGCTTGAGTACATGTGACATCATGTTACATCTTCATTTTATCATCACAACTGCGTTGTGAGATACGTTGTTTGTTTAAAAAGAGTACTGTATATAATACATATTGCATGATATTATATATATATGTATAGTCAAACTATTTGTATCACAGTTTTAGCCGCGACTGGACAGGTGAGGTCATTCGAGCTGAAGAGCAGGACTTGAATGATTTGACCCATTCTACCAGAAAGGGTGGACATGTGCGAGTGTTTCAGAGACTTTGGAGGACAGAAAAGAACATTTGGACACCAAGATTTTCTTGACTCCAAACTCAGCTGGTTGGTGGTTTGGAACATTTTTTATTTTTCCATATACATATATATATATATATATTGGGAATAGTAACCCCAATTGACTAATATTTTTCAGAGGGGTTGAAACCACCAACCAGTCAGTCATTTGTCGACATAGGGATGGCTCATTGCACTTGGAACAGACCTGGAACAGACCCTTCATCTTGGGATACCAAACGGAGGATCCAGCTGTTCGACCAAACCCACGGAATGACATTTGGTGTGGCAACAAGGCCTGGGCGATTTCCAAATGGAAACGATTGGGATGCTGAGTGAAAAAGTTTAGGAGTCAAGCCATGGAGGGTTCGCTGGGGAATATCTTTGAAGAACAGGTTTGCTGTCTCACAAAGAGTGTCGTCAGAATCAAGCGCAAGATTAGAATGGCATCAATGTCCATCAGAGTACATCAGTTTCATATCTTTAGGATCCATCAGTTTCACGCCATTTGTATTCATTGGATTGGTTTAAGATGGTTTCAGGGAAAATCTGCACGCACCCCTGCCCCCAAGATTTTGGGTAAACGCATGCAAAAGACACATGTTTTCCTGTAGATGTTTCCCTTCTAATCCATCAAATCCATCAAGTTGTATCCATCAGTTTCACAAGTCATCAGGATTTGATGGATCAAGTATGGATCAAGTGCAACTGCTGGAGACTGCTGGATACTGCTGGATACTGCTGGATGCCCAGATCCCAGAGCTTCAGCTGGTGCCTCTGAGGACCTACAGAACTGGGGCCAATGGACACAGATGGCGCCCAGTGCGCCCTTCTCTGCCCGTGCGCAGGTCGGTCCTTCGGTGAAGCATGGCTGTGAGATTTTTCACTTCATCCACGTCAGGAAGTGCTAAAAAGTGGCTGTATAACAACTAGGCCTAGGCTGAAAACCCTCGGACCAATTGAAATGAACAGTGCTGACATTCTTTTGGTGTGTTTCCATGCCGAATGCAGGAAAGAAGAACATGCCTCAAGTTCCATTTGCAGATTGCAACTCACTGCTGTTCAACCACCAACCTGAGTATGTATGTGCAAGAACGAAATAGCCACACATGTCTAGCAGTTGATAGGCAATTTCATTTCGAAACCAGTATCCAAATCTGTTTTGCTAAGCGTCGCTTCTATCATATTGCCATGGCATGGGTCAGAATTTTAGACCAGGGGAGCCAGGTTTGTTCATTTATTAATCATACATTTTTCTGCCCCCCCAATTTTGACCCATATAATCATATATTATATCATATATTTATATTGATTTTTTTATGACATTTCATGACATTTCATGATGGCATCAGTTTTCACTCTGAATGCGCGCAGTTTGGTGCTGTTATTGCTCCAACGCCGGCAGCTGAGTGGAATGTTGGACAATTGTTGCCCTTTGCTTGGAAGATAATATTGGATGAATGAATATTATATATAACTATAACTATAATATATTATATGTAATTCTCTCAGCATATCAGACCTGGCTTGCTGACGACAAATCCAGATTTCAGATGGCCAGAACATGCCCAACTTTTGATCAGTTTTGAGAACATTTGGTTAGAGTTCCAAGTCACCTGCCACATATCCATGTGGCTATGGCTGAGCAAAAACATGTAGTGACTTGCCCCCAAATTCAAATAAATTCAACATCTTTTTGTATCCGACTGCTTTTGCATAAGCATCCCCCCAAGTCATGGGAACCAAAATGAACCAAAGGATGCCAAGTTGGGTTGAGCCGTTCCGATTCGTTCCGATCATCAAAGATCATCAAAGATCCAAATCTCAGCTGTTCTCTTCAGGATCTCTGACTTCTCCTTCGTTCTTTTTGGCGGCTATGATGACAACGTGCGCCGTTGAAGCGTCGTGGGAGGGTGAAGTCAAAAGTCGGTTAAATTCCCGCTGTGTGGTGCTTATCCGGTCATGGCAGAAAACATGAGAAACCATGGATGAAAGCACAAGTTCCAATCAAATCCCATGGTTTATCAGTTTATCATTGTTTATCATCATTTTTTGATATTAGTGTTTCCTGTGTTTTCCTATGAAATCCCATGGTTTATCATATGTGTTCTGCTCATTTTTCCGCCCGGCCCATGCCACGAAAAAAGGCCCGGCTGGTGGCGGACCAGTGGAGATGGAAACTCGGCATATCTCGGCACTTTACCGGTGGAGCCTTTTTAAATGGGCGACCAAGATGATGTTAAAAATGGTGGTTAGTTAATAGTGGTTAATAGTGGTTAATAGATGTTAATAGTGGCTAATAGTGGTTAATGGTTTATTCACCATATGTTAAATCTGAATTTAAATCTTGGATGACCACAAAGACAATTCAGACCTGGAAACAATTTTCCAGCCAGGGATCAGAATAAAAAAACACATCCGGATCTACCCGATCACTCACAATACCAGGGGACTGCTATCAATTTTGGGCATCCTGTTGCCAAAGAAACTGCGCCAAGGACAGGAGAAAATACCACATTCACCTGTGATATCCAAGAGCCTGCCAGTGTGGAATCTCAGACAAGACAAAGATATGCAAACATTTTTGGGCTTGCCTCCTTTTGAAAGGAAGGTCATGGGTTTCATCCAATCCCCTCTGGCATGCCATGCTTGATCCAGGAATTCAACATATACACGGACAGTTTGGTGTAGCTGAAACATGGAGCTTGTGACTTTTCCGGCAGGTGTCCTCTGACCGAGCCCTTCGACTGTTTTGTTTCACAAAGATGAGCAGCGCAGAGCAGGGGCTGTCAAAAGGAGGGGTTCATAAGCAGAGTGATGTACTACGCCAGCCTGTGCTAATGCCCCAGACATAACTTTTCCATACATATATACTTTGCTAGTCATTTGGTTTGATGTCCCATTTATGCGCAGCTGTTGGGTCCACCTGTGGTCAGTTATTGGCCAGTTATTGGTCAAAAACCACAGCTATTCGTCTGAGATGGACAGGGGGATGAGCATCCCGGCCTTGGATCATATTGGGTGATATGTGCCGCTGAGCACTGACTCAATCTTGTGAAAGGATATGAAAGGATCTGGATGGCCCATGTTCTCGGCATTTGATTGCTATCCTTGTACTGTGGATGGATACTGTAATCCATCAGTGAAACCAATTCACGAACAAGCAGATTCCAAAGCAAATGCCATGTGTTCCAACTTGACTGCAAGATCTGAGAGTACTGAACCCATGGGCCATGGACCAATTTGCAATTTTTGTGTAGTACCAACATGTTGCAACTTCAATGGTTGGGTTTAATGGACAATTTTTTCAAGAAACCATCATTTATACCATCAGCATCATCAGCCCCTTGGCCCGCGATTTTTGCGATGAAAAATGGGACCTGACTATGGCGACCGGCATTGTGATGGTTACAGGCTGGCTTGGTACTGACGAGAGCAAATCAGGTGATTCCCAGACGATGGGAAAATGTGAGCGTGAAATCCCACATGGTATCATGATTTATCCATAGATTTATCCATATTTATCCCCAAATATTGATCCATAGCTGAGATTTTATTTGATAAAGACCTTTATTTAAGTGTGTTACTAGTCCAGTTTCCTATAGATTTATCAGATTTGATTTATAGAGACATTGGATTTTCCTGCTGATGTGTGAGATACAGCTGAGCCGGTGGGGATGACCGAGCCTCCTGAGGCCCTGGGATTTTTGGGCGGCGGTGCGGCCATATGGTGTAGATTTCATGAGCAAAGACCAAAAAGGTTCATGCAGAAAGAAACCTCTAAAGGAGAGGTCATATAGTTGAATAATAATATATATATATTACATATATCACATATAATTATATATATTACATATATCACATATATATATTACATATATCATATATATATATATATATTACATATATCACATATATATATATTACATATAGCACATATATATATATATAGAGCACATAACATATATATATATATTACATATATGACATACATATATATATATTACATATATATATATTACATATATATATATATTACATATATATATATTACATATATATATATATTACATATATCACATAAATATATTACATATATCACATATATATATGTATATATATATATATATCACATATATATATATTACATATATCATATATATATATATATATTAAATATATCACATATATATATATATATCACATATATATATATTACATATATCACATATATATATATATTACATATATCATATATATATATATATTATATTACATATATCACATATATTACATATATCACATATATTACATATAGCACATATATATATATACAGGCATCTGACAAAGTCGTACCTGTTTCAAGAAAAAATCGTTGTGCCTTGGGCAGAAAAGCATTTAGGCATGACTTAGGCATGACTTCTTGGATACAGCGTTTACACTGGTAAGTGCCATTCAAAAACACGCTAGGCATGACTTAGGCGTGACATTGTCGTTTCCCTGTAGCACATAACATATATATATATATTACATATATTACATACATATATATATATATATTACATATTATATATATTACATATATCACATATAAACTACATATATCACATATATATATATATTACATATATCACATATATATATGTTACATATATCATCATATATATATTACATATATCACATATATATATATTACATATTTCACATATATATATTACATATTTCATATATATATATTACATATATCATATAGATATATATTACATATATCACATACAGTATATATATTACATATATCACGTATGTATATATATATATATTACATATATCACGTATATATATATATTACAATATATCATATACATGTATATATATATTACATATATCATATATATTTAATATATCATATATATAATATATCATATATATATATATAATACATATAACATATATATATATATATACATATATCATATATATATAATACATATAACATATATCACATATATATAATACATATATCATATTTATATATAGGGTGAAGGCTGGGGGTTCCCCGGAAGCCAATTGCATTTTATTTGTATGGATATGGAAAATGTTGATTTTACACTGTGTTTTACAGTGTTTTATGCTTTTCTCTGAGAGTGTTTGATCAGCCAAAGTTTCAATGTCGGCGCGGATAAACTTGACGTTTGTCCGCGCAGAAAACATGATAAATTTACATCTTCCATGGATGACCAAACATGTGTGCAACATTCTAACCATTGGAATTGCGGTTTTATGCATTTTTGGTCGTTTTGTTGATAACTAGAAAATGTCATAATTCACTGGAGAACCATGGACGAAATGAACATCACACCTTTTTCATCTTCACGTCCACAAAGGCTTTTTGAAGCAGTTGCTTGGAGCGAGAGCACCATTGGCCTTCTGCAACGTAACAACATCTTCAACGAAGCAACATCCTCAAGGTTTCCACAACTCTCAATCCAACACGCTTCACATGACGTTAGTACACCCCCCACCCCCCCACCCCCCCTTCTCTAAACAACAACGATACTTGCAACGTAACAACATCCTCAACAAAGCAACATCCTCAAGGTTTCCACAACTCTCAATCCAACGGGCTCCACATGACGTTTACACACCCCCCCACCCCCCCACCCCCCCACCCCCCATCTCTATACCGTAACGACGTTTCTAGCACAGGCTCAAGACTGAGGGTTCCTATATATACATAATTATTTAATATTATATTTATATATAACATATATCATATATGTACATAATAATATATATATGTACATAATAATATATATTACATATATCATATATATATGATTACATATATCATATTTATATATATATATATTTTTTTAACGTATATCATTTCATATTTATATATATATATATTACATAATATATCGTGTATAAAAAATATATACATATATTACATAATATATCATATATATATATATATGTGATTACATATTTTATATATATACATATTTGTATATTTATATATGTTTATTTATATATATATATATATTACATATATCGTATATATACATATATTACATATATTACATATATTATATATATATATTTGGTTACATATATATATATATGTATTATAAATGTATCCCCGTTTAAAAGGAATGCCGTGGGATGGCTACACCAGCAACATCCAACACTTTGAATTTCTGCAGGATGCAGCGGCAGCTTCCTCTTCCGAAGGGGCCATTGGTGCCTACGTCGGAAGCTCGTTTCAATATCAGATGATATACATGAAAAACAAACAACAACAACAACAACAACAACAACAACAACAACAACAAAGACAACAAAGCATCTTGTATATATATATATATGTTATATGGTACAACGGCAGAATGTATAAAAAACTATTATATAATTTATGTAATATTATATATATAGTCTGTGGTTCATGATAGTCCATACCCCCAAACGGTAAATCATGAGGACAAAGCACTGCACTTTGCTACAGAAACCCTGGGGCCTGGGCATGATTTTTCATTTGGATGATCGATTCTCCAATCGCGAACTGAAACAATCTGAAACATCCATAGAACGCAGAGAACTCAATGGACTTTGAATGATGTTGATGGATTTTGCGCAGATTAGATCCCTTATGATCCCTTCATCTTTTGAAGTGTCTCAGACTGATTTCGAACAAGTTCTATGTTTTGATCATTTTTGATCTGTTGAGTTGAGTCAACAAGGCTGATAGCAACAGGTTGTGAGGTGCGCCCAAAAATCCCCCAAATCAGCTGCTCCATATCGAGGTGGCGGTGGACTTTGATGATGGTCCAGAGTTGGTGGCTGAGAATTCGTCGCTGGAAAACTTTCAGCTGTCGCTCTGTTTCCGTAGGCAATTCTAATCAATTCTACTATTCAATGTGGCCCTCAGAATGTATATGGGTATGACCTAGGGCACCAAATTTTGACGGATTCCACATTTTTCTGTTGTTTAGCTGTTGTGATCTGAAGACCGACCAAGATTTTGACTCATACCCTCATGGATTTGTCTGAAAATGGATACTCTCTATAAATCCATATAAATCCAATGGTTTACCAACGACCAACGCGCATTTTCCATTTGAGCCCCAGCTGTTTTTTCCTATATGTTTTTCTTTTTTTTCTCTCTTTTCGTGGCCCAAAAGGATGGATGGTACCAGGGTGTCCCCCAGTTTATTGGACCAAGGACAGGCCTGACGGCTTTGACGTCTGAGGCGACGGGCTGAGTTTGGTTTGAAACTGGGGTTACACCATGTAGAACATGGTAGAACCCATCCAAATCCACTGGTTAGTTTTCATCTGATCATATCTTATGAGATTCCTAGTTGAATGATACATTGACTGACCGTATTTCAGATCATTTTAGGGGTGCCCTTAACCACAGGCACTTGAGAGCCGTGGCAGGATGACTTGTGCGATCCGTGCTACTGGAAGTTCCAGGAGGTGGCTCTGCAAAGTGATGGTTTCTCCATGGCTCAGTTGAAATGGGTCAACAGATGTCAACAGTTTGTTTTTCGACATGGATCACCAGATATCACCAGTACCAAACTTTCACACTTGCATCTGATGTGCACACGTATGCACACGTGAAATTTTAACAAGCACTATTCCTGGCATTCAGAATATTCAGACTGCCCAGCTGCAGATATCTGCGGATGGCATAGTGAGGTCCATGGTTTTACGCCCAAATTCAAGGTGCTCTTCAAAGTTGCTTGTCGCAGCTGATGAATCTTGCGGAATCTGCGATTCTGTTTACTGAATTCAACAAGGACCACTCTCTTTTGTGGACGCTGGATGTTTTATAATGTTTTATGATTGAATTTACAATGTTGTTTGTTTATAAAGTAAGTTCGCATGTATGTGAGTATATGCTGATTTGGATGTTGCAGACTGCTTCGGTTCACTGTGTATCGTCTTTGGTTATGCAACATCAGGGGAGATTGAGCTAAAGATAGATAGGACATGATAGGACGCAGGACGTTTCAGTAATGAAAGGATACTGTAACATATAATACATTTATAATACCATATTGACTGTAAGTCCAGATTGCCCTGTTTTTCACGGTCAACTTAGTCAACTTGGAAAATGCCTCGCCAAGGATGGTTTCACATCTTTCCTCACCACTTTGTCAGAGTCTTACAGGGACAGGCGTTTTTGTAGTTCATACCATTCATACCTGAAGACAACGATGCAAGCCTTTGTTTATCGAAGTGATGCCCACCTGATGTGGTGTTTTTTGTTCTTCCTTCGCAGGGAGATATGAGCCTTGAAAACATGCTAGGCCAAGTACAGAAGATGGCGTCAGCTGCCCAGAATTTAGCGATTCGAAGATTCCATGTCTCGATATGTCTCGATGCCTGGCCGAAGTTCGAAATGACATTCTTGAAGTCTGAACTGATTCTGAACTCTGCAGATGATTGTCCCCTGGGACGACCACTCGCTTGTACACCCTAAATTTCACTCGCTTGTACACCCACTTTTTCCCTCGCTTGTACACCCATGTAAATCATCATCTTTCTCTTCATCGTCATCATCATCGTCGTCGTCATCCTCATCATCATCATCATCATCATCGTCATCGTCATCGTCATCGTCATCGTCATCATCATCATCATCATCATGATCTCATCCACACTATCACCATTAGCATCATCTTCAGCATCATCATCATCCAGATCTTTTCGACAGCACCATCATCACAGTCAGCATCAGCATCATCATTTCGAGCATCATCATTGTCATCATAATCATCCCCTCGACCGGAACCCGCGCGTGGCGGCGTTGACAACTGTGAATCAGCTCTTTGATACAAAATGTTTCAAACGTGAGGTTTTGGTATATTTGTTTTTGTTTAAAGCTCTTTTTCGTGGCAATTCCATGGGGTAGTTTTGTTGGATCGTTTCGTGCTGGTGAAATGCTGTTTTTTCTGTTTTGTAAGAAAAACAATAGGGGCGGCAACGAGCGCCTGCGAGTCATTATCCCACGCCTGCCAGTCGAAATCGGGACGGCTTGCAATTTGAAGAAGAAGATAACAACGTAGCTCCAAGTGATGTTAGAAGAGGCAGCTACGTAGTTGCAAGTCATGTTAGAAGAGCCAACAACGTAGTTGCAATTTGAAGAAGAAGATAACAACGTAGCTCCAAGTGATGTTAGAAGAGGCAACAAAGTAGTTGCAAGTGATGTTATAGAAGAGCCAACAACGTAGTTGCAATTTGAAGAAGAAGAAGATAACCACATAGTTGCAAGCGATGTTAGAAGACAAAAGGTTAATACCTTTCCCCACCCCACCCCACCTCGTGAACGTCAGTAGAGAAGTTAGTAACGTTCTGGAAAGTTCTAAGTGGACAGAACGTTAATACTTCTCCCCACTCCACCCCACCCCATTCCATGAACATCAGTAGAGAAGTTAGTAACATACTGCAAAATTCTAAGTGGACAGACTGTTAATTTCCCTCCCCATCCCATTCCACTCTACCCCATCTTATGAACGTCAGTAGAGAAGGTAGAAACGCACTGGAAAGTTCTAAGTGGACAGAACGTTAATACCCCTCCCCACCCACCCCACTCCATGAAAGTCAGTAGAGAAGTGAAGCACGGTTTTTCCGTAAGATGACGAAAAGTAAAAGTGTGCGTCACTACATTTTAGTTTTTCGATTTCCCAGCATAATCATGATCATCATCGTCACCATGATCATCATCATCACCATGGTATGCATCATTATCTCATTCACAACACGTGCATTAGCATCAGCATCAGCATCATCATTGCCAGCATCATCAGCATCAACATCATCATCATCATCATCATCATCATGTTCAGCATCTGCGGATTCGGTTAGTGTGGCCGTGAGGAAGTGCCCAGTGTTTGAGCTTCAGACTTCTAGACTGTTCGATGCGTCCTTTTCATTTTCCGTCGATTGTGCATTTTCATTATTCAGCATGTGCTCATTTTTACATAATTATTTGATTTCTTTCCATCAGTTTGCCAAGATGTCAGTGGAGCAATTTCGATGCAACTGGACTCGGAGGTCGTTACGTGCATTACTCTTGGATAAAGAAACATGAATACGTCATCTTGCTTTGTGTTTGCGCGGAATGTCAACAGGTCACTAGGAATGAGGAGTAGGCAACGGATAGCATCAGTTTCCGCGAGACGTGCAAAGCACGCGGAGCGGTTAGAAAATACTCAATGTGAAGGAAGAAGGTTTCAATCTGGAATAGTTTGGAGGAAGCTCGCTGTCACAGGTCTGCGTTGTAAAGATAGTAGACTTAGACAGGGCCGAAATCTGCTAGAAAAAAGTGCCCGATGCGGAGTCGATGTCGGGTCTGCGTACACACAGTCACGAACTCAGATAGAACCTTTAGGAACAAACAAACACACAGCGCCCTCTTGCAAACAGGAATCGGGTGAACACATTTTTTCATCAGAACCACACCCCCCCTTCAAGAGGAGAGCCGGGATGACAGCACCGTTCATTTTAGGACGGCAGCGTCAACTGAATGCGTGCCCCCACCATGCTACCAATCATTCCCACACCACACCTCGATGCTGCAAAGGCAAACGGGGTCGGCGGAATATATTGACCAGATATCACCGATATTTGGAATGGAAGACTTCACGTTCAGTTCACAGACGCTTATGGCGTAACATTAAAAGTTCTGGTAGCGAGGCGATGGGGAAGGTGATTGCAACCTCTTCGCCTGGTGTTGCAATTCAAGAAGCTAACTGGCTGTATGACTACCCAGAAATTTCATCTAAGGCGAACAAAAAGCACGACAACAGAAGCAAGTCTTCAAGCACCAGGAACTATTTCAGAGAATATGCTTGCAAACGTAATGTAATACATGCTTGGAACTGCCAGAAATCAAGAGCTGAGAACCGGAAAATCAAAAAACATATCAGAAAAACTTGTCACAAAAAATGGCAGAACCCTGCCAAACCCCCGGTCAGTGAACCTGACACACTTGTACACACCAACTCATTACCTTACGGTCAGACTTTTGTCATTGCAACTTTAAATTGCAGAGGCCTAAACGAAGCGGGTAAACGTGAGCAAATTATGGAAATAATGCACCAGCACAAAATTGATCTTATTGCCCTTCAAGAAACGAAAATAAATCACTCCATTGAAGAACTTAAAGTTTTTCGTAACCAAAAATACCTCTTTCGTTTTAGTTCCAGTGTCAACAAAAAAACCCAAGCTCCAGAACCACAAATCCCAAAAGCAAAAGCCAAAGCGAACGCGCAAAATAATGGGACAGAACACCATGGCGTTGGTTTCGTGGTTGGCCCCAAGCTGCAGACTGCATTGAAAGATTGTATTCCATACAGTAGTAGATTAATTCAAATCAAATTTCACAATCATGGACCCGATTTAAGTTTTATTAGCCAATACGCTCCACACAGTGGACGGCCGCAAGAAGAAAAAAATCATCACTGGGAAACTTTACAAAACATTATCATGGACCGTCCTCAAAATTCTCCAACCTACATTCTTGGTGATGCAAATGCTCGCCTGCACGGCTGCGTTAATGAAGTCGAAGAACAATGTATCGGTCACCACGTTTTTGGTTATGGCGCTCAACATGTAGGATCACTCCCAGAGGATCAAAAAGAGAACCGACAACTACTTATTGATTTTTGCCTTTTCGCAGATTTCCTGATCATGAACACGTTGTTCCTAAAACCTACTAGCAAAAAATGCACTTTCAAAGAAACAGCCACTGAAGGTTTTACTGCCCCCTGGTCCCCAGACCGCTTCGCTCAAATTGATTTCATCTTAGCGCCACGTGCCTTTAAAAACAGCATTCTTGATATCTCGGCTAGAACAGATATTGCGTTTAATAGTGACCACAGCATTGTGACAGCTAATTTGCGGGTAAAACTGAAAGCTCAACCTAAAAATGCGCCCACTACAGTGGTGCGATTTCATCAGCCAACCGAAAGCCAAAAGCAACAGTACAATGACGCCATCCGCCATTGTTTCAATGCCAGTGCTGAATCCCAGCACATCTATGGGGTCGCCAAATTTGTTCAAACTATGAAGCAAGCTGCCGAACGAATTTTGCCTCGTAAAAATAAGGCGATAAACCGTAGTTACATCTCGGGGACTACCTGGAATCTAATAGAAGAACGACAAAAAGCTAGGGAAAATGGCGATTGTGTGGAAGAAAGCCGGCTCAATAAGGAAGTGTCTAAAAGTGCGAAGCGTGATAAACAACAATGGAAACTCAACAAATTAGAAGATCTCACAGACTGTCGGGAATGTTGGAAAAACATAAAGTTTGAAAAGTCAAATTTCACCCCGAATTTTTATAGCATGAAGGACGTCCATGGAAATCGAGTCCCGAATTCTCAAAAAGCGAGTGCGCTTGCCGATTACCTTCACTACAAACATTGGGGGCCAAACGAAGTTTCAACGCCGATTGATAATACTAAGCTCATGGTCCTCCAAAACATTCAGGCCGAAATCGGAATTTTCCAAAGCTCTGAAGTCACAGAAGCAATCCACAGGCTGAAAACAAATAAAGCGCCTGGGCCAGACGGTTCAATTGTGGAACTTTTCAAATATTTGGACTCTAGCAACGTGGACTCACTTACAAATTGCTTAAATGCATTATGGCGTGCAAAATTGGTCCCAGATGATTTTACCCAAGCTCACATAGCAAGCTTGTACAAAAAGGGCGATCATGAAAATCCTGAAAACTACCGACCAATTTCTTTGCTTAATGTTTCATACAAAATTTACGCCTATATCTTGAAATCAAGACTAGCTATGGCGCTTGAAGAACACCTCAGTCCGACGCAGTTTGGTTTCAGAGCATCCAGATCCACTATTGACCCACTATTTTGCCTAAGAAGACTCACGGACGTCGTAGAACAAGGTCACGATAAATTAATTCTGATCTTCCTAGACTGGGAAAAAGCTTTTGATAAAATTAGTCATGAAAAAATGTTCCAATCCCTCCACAGAATGAGTATTCCAGTTGAAATCCTTGATGCCATAAAAGCTATTTACCAGAAACCGATGTTTCAAGTGATGCACCGAGATAAATTTTCGTCATGGTTGAGCCAACGTACTGGAATCAGGCAAGGCTGTCCCCTCAGCCCATACCTATTCATTGTGACAATGCACGTGCTATTTCATGATGTTCACCGCAGATTCAACGACCCACGCTACGCAAAAACTTTCCAAGGAATTAATTTCCACGAATTGCTGTACGCAGATGACACATTAATTCTGACCAAAAGCTTTGCCAGTGCTAACCAATACTTGCACCTTATCGAAGAAGAATCCCA